GTCATCATGCTAACGCAAACATAGATGCATGTCCGTACATCAGATGAGGTACGCAGACACACATACACAATTGCTTGTCCGTCGGGACTCATACATATATAAACATATGTGGACAGTTTCGGATTTGACATATGTATGTATACGAGTAGTGTTGTGTCTATACATATGCATTTGTATGTTGAAATTCAAAGATTGGAAGTGTAGTGAAAATTTCTCGTGAATGTATACATGTCAGCAATCAGAGCATTTTTCTATTTTTTCACTAAATAATATTTCCTCGCATGTATGTATATACATGTGGTGGGGTCTGTGTAAAATTATGATAGGTAAAATGACTTATTTTTATTTTTAATTTTTAAAGAAAGGTTTTATTTGTTATTATTTTAAAGCTGGTTATTTGCTTGTTTTTGATGACTGTGTATACGTAACTGGTAGAAATTTCGGTTCATAATCCTTATTGGTTATTTTTTATGGTGGTATTTAATATGCTGGGGGAGGGGGTAGTTTACGTTAATAATTATAGCGGGTCTATATGATAATAGTAGATGTGATATGGTAGTAATGTTGTAAGGGGATTGGAGACAATGATAATATAAGTAGCTAATAGTGATTGTAAATTGGTAGAAGTGATTAGTAATGGTGGTGGGAGAATGATAAAAACAATAAATGTAATTATTGTGGTGGTAGCTTGAACTAAAAAGTGATTGTTGGTGTTTTATTTTATTTTGTTATTTATATTAATTTATTTTGTTATAAATCCTTATAATAGGTATTCTGTGTAAAATTATGATAGTTGAAAATTGCTATAATTTTTATTTTTAATTTAAAAAAAAAATTTTTGTTATTATTTTAAAGCTGGTTATTTGCTTGTTTTTTATTTTTTTGATGACTGTGTATATGTGACTGGTAAAAATTTCAGTTTGTAATCCTTATTGGTTATTTTTATGGTGGTATTAAATATACTGGGGGGGGTAGTTTACGTTAATAATTATGACGGGTTTATATGATAATAGTAGATCACATCTACTATTATCATATAAACCCATTTCATAATGTTAGCTTATTGGTTAAGCAGACTTCATGTGCATTTGACTTGTCAAGCAGCATCCATGTGTATAATTTATGTGCGTATGTGTATCACAATTCTAGTTTGTCTATGTGGGATTTGGTAAAGGGAAACATCCTCAGATAAAGAAAATTTTTCCTTTCCTTTTGTTTTATCCATAGTCTTTTTACAGATATGTTTTATTTATATCTGAATTTTTAGTGGTTATGGGTGCAGTAAAAGATATTTAGTGAATCAAGTTCAAATTTCAGCTGAGGTTGTTTTATTCATTTTCTCACAAATAACCTTGGGAAAGGTATGACTTTATTTCTTCTTGCATTCACCTCGGGGTTAATAGCATTCTTGCACATTTATACAATTCTACCATTCATCCATGCATCAAATATAGCTGTAACATTTGGTCTTATGTGAAGTATTATATATCTAGAGATTCTTGCTAAAATCTGAAGAATCTGCAATGTTATCAGCCTTGACCTGGCATAACAGCTTCAGTCATAACATGGTTTCCTTTTGCCTCTTCTATAAATATTTTCATTGTAATTCTTCTGATGAGCTTTCCCAGGCAAGGACATATTTCATGAATGGGAAACTGCTAGTCTTGGGTTTTCCCCAAATTGAGGCCTGTAAGTTAGAGTTTCTTTCTATATCTAGGAAATATATATTCCCAAAGGGTAATGGCACCATGGATGTGTAAGCTGCTGGGGAGGCAGATGTAGCCACTTCCTTGGCCATAGCGGGGTCAGCCTAAAGACAGCAACCTTTTGGCTTAGCTTCTGTAAAATACATGATTTAACTGTCACTTTCATCACTGTATGGAATGAAGTCATTAAGTGGCCTGTCATGTGACTAAAGTGACTTATCTCCATGAAAGGGAGATAATCGCCTTCTCTATCTCTACACACTTTTGTCTCGTTCAACTCTGTTCTCTCATTGTCCTTTCTGTTTCATACTCATTAACCCCTTGTATCCTAGTGGCTATTATTGCCTTACTCAGGTTGAATGATAAAAAAAATACTGATACAAGTAAATTGTAAACATGCAATCTTTCTAAGCAGTTTCAACAAACCTGAATTGCTCAAGGAAACGATGGATGTTTACATCTTTCCAAAACTCGACACGTGTTTTCCAATAAATATGTTGTTTCTTTTCTCTTTCAGTGTCAGCTATCATCAGTTGAAAATAAATATTTGTGTAGTTCAATCGATTGTTCAGCAAGGTCTGATTAATCATCTGGAAATAAAGAACATGGATTTAATTAAATGCTTCCAAGACATTCTACTGGTGGGAAGGAATGGTATGTTCCATCAATCAAACATACATATATGACACAAGAAATGGCTAAAAGAAACTGAGCTGCAGCAATAATTTTTTATTTGATTTGTATGATATGAAACATTGTCAAAAATTAAATGGAATTTTTGTGTAGTATTTACATTCATCTTTATTAGATGAAGCATTGTCAACCATTATTATTAATTTTTGTCTGGTATTTATTTTCATCTTCATTTTTTATTAGATAAAACATTGTCAACCATTATTAATTTTTGTCTTTTTATTTTCATCTTCATTTTTATTAGATAAAACATTTTTATTATCTTCATTTTTATTAGATAAAACATTGTCAACCATTATTATTAATTTTTGTCTGGTATTTATTTTCATCTTCATTTTTTATTAGATAACACATTGTCAACCATTATTATTAATTTTTGTCTGGTATTTATTTTCATCTTCATTTTTTATTAGATAAACATTGTCAACCATTATTATTAATTTTTGTCTGGTATTTATTTTCATCTTCATTTTTTATTAGATAACACATTGTCAACCATCACTATCATTTTATGACAAGTATTTATGAACATATTCATTTTTATTAAGTGAAGCACTTAATAATTTTTATGATGTGATGGAATAACCTGCTACCCCCATGAGTGGTGGTTATATAGGTGTCATAGGTTTCCAAGTAGGCATCTATGCGGACGACACTACTATTTACTCCTGCCTCAAAAACAAATCTAGTGTTGCCGTCAAAACTAACCTGGCTGTTTGTCTTGAAAAGGACCTCCAATCGGTTGTGGACTGAGGCAGGAATTGGCTGGTTAACTTTAATGCCTCAAAAACAAAATTGCTCTTTATTACTCACTAGAGAACCATCCCTACTTCCCATTAGAATGTCTGACACTCAACTCCATAAGAGCACCACCTTGCGACTGCTCGGTCTCACATTGTCCGCTGACCTGAGATGGAATGAATACATTGAGTCAATAGCTTCATCCACCACTAGGAAAGTTGGCACCCTGTGCCACGCCAGGAAATTTTTCTTGGCGGAGTCAATCCTTCAAATCTACAAATCAACCATTCACCCTTGCATGGAGTATTGCTGCTATATATGGTCTGTTGCCTCTTCTAATTGTCTCAAGGTCCTTGACAAAATCCAAAGACAGATATGCAATGTAATTGGCCCTGATCTAGTATCTCACCTGCAGCCGCTCTCTCATAGACGTGCTGTTGCCTCCCTCTGTCTTTTTTACAAATACTTTCATGGTAACTGCTCCAATGAGCTGCTTTTGCTGGTTCCCAGATTTCATGAATTTAAGTGTTCAACTAGGCTGGCATCTCGCTCTCACGCTTTCACTGTCGAAACTGTTAAATGTAGCCATCTCTTCTACTCCAATAACTTCATGTCTCGCACTTCTTGCCTGTGGAACTTCCTCCCCATTTCTTGTTTCTCTGATAGCTATAATCTCCAACTATTCAAATGTAATGTCAATCGATGTCTCCAGATGCCTTGATCTATCCACTCTCCTTCTCTTCATCCTTTCCTCTATCACTCCTATTTGTTCTCGCTCCAATTCTGTAACCCCACGCGTGCTAGTGGCTTCCCACCTTGCTTGGGGTTGAATGCTTAAAAAAAAACAAAAAAAAAAAAACACCTATAAGTATCCATGAGGACAGCGGACAGGAGAGTTGAGCTGGGATCTGTAAGAACTAGCAGCCTTCCGATAGCAGCACGCACACAACTGTACTGACTTACGATGACCGTGCATATAACTATTACTTCCTTGCTTGTTTTACTGGTTTCTACAATAAACCTGTCAACTGTGTTTGTCCATTCCATATTCCTATTAGCACAGACTATAACATTTTGACTAGTACAACAACAAATCAGAAAAATGAAACATTTCATTTGTTGTGAACAACTTTTGTATTTCTTACTGGAATTCCTTTAAAATTGGGCAGTTTACTTTTAAGGATTAATCAATTTGATTTATAAAAATAATCAAATAATATTTCACCAACCAACTAGGTTTTTTTTGAAAGCTGAAATTTTGGAAATTTGAATTTTTTTTTTTATAGAGATCAAGTATTGACTAATGAAGACAAATTTGAAGAACTGTATTAGTACATTAATACTTTGTTGTAGCACCTTTTGTATCTACTAATTCTTTCATCTGTTGTGGTAATGAACAACTGTTGCCCACACTTCAGTAATGACTTGCTTCAATTCTTCAAGATTGGATGGAGGGTATTTTCTTAATCTCTTCTTGATGATTACCCATAAATTTTTTATTGGATTTGCATCTGGAATAATTGCCAGCCAATCAAGAACAGTTATTGTCTTCTCCCTAAACCATTCGTTTGTAGATTTTGCTGCATGGAGGCGGAGCAAGGTCATGCTGGAAGATAAATTCATTGTCCTAAATGTATGGGATAAAGAAATGATCAGGGCTGATGCATACTAACCCTGAACCCCAAGCCTGATTGGAGCCCCTGGCAGTGATTTGTGACCCTTGCTATCTTATCAACATTTGCTTTTTTCTACTTACATTTATATATATTACTTATTAAACTAAACACAACTGACAATTAAAGGATGAAAAAATATAGAGGTCTTTTTGGGTTTTTTTTGTTCAAATCCGTTAATTTGTTTTGCTTATGCTAAGGATTGAAAAAAAAAACACACTATAAAATTCACTAGTTTTATCTATAATGTTGAATGTGTTAAAATTATTCAACTTTTAACAAGAAAAATCTCAAGTTGATATTAAAAATTGCAGTAAAACATTGTTGATTTATTTAAGATGGAATGATCTATTATGATATGTCTCTAATTTGTATTTACATACATTGTATTTATTTTCAGTTTTTCTAGTTGAAAATTGTTCACCTATATTGCATATGACCCATTATTGTACATAATTAGGTTACAATAAAATTTGCATTTTATATGAATATTACCTTATGAAAATTGAGATGTAATAGAGTGGGGTGCCCGTATCACGGATTTGTGAGCTGGGGGGAGAGAGATGAGACCCTTGTCTCTGGCCCTGGAAATGATCGAGGACATCCAGATAGACAGCAGCAAGAAACAGATCTTTCTAACACCAGTGATAAACATAGAACCACAAACCATCACAGAGTGAAGGAGATCGACACATTTTTCATGGATTTGACATTGTGTCTCTCCTATGATTTTCTCCAAGAGAAAATTTTGATTCATCACTGAAAATGTCCTGATTCCACTGATCCACTGACCAACTTTGATGGTCTCTAGCTCAGATTAAACAGACTTCCATTTAAAAGTTAGCAGTGGCTTAAAAATCAATATAAGTTTCTGGAGTGGGATATGTGGGTGGTGTTATAGACAAGCGTATGGTTGCAAGAAAGAAATACGACAACAGCAGAAATAGATTTACGTGGTTTATTTCAACAGGAACATGAGGGTTTGGGACAGCTACCTTGTGGTAAAGTTCATAAGCCGGTTTTCGGATCTGGTCGATCTCTCATAGTAGTTCACACATGTTGACGGTGGTTGGTGCTCTCCTGCTGACAGCTGTTGAACGTGACCGATCTCCTTTGTGGCCACCTGTTGACTGCTGCTGAACTTCCCTGTGACCCCTTTTATAACGTTTTTTTATGGCTTAACAGGCTCGAGAAACAAAGCGAGTATAATTAGGAGGGAAGCATTTTTATTGGACGAAAAATAGAGCACTTTAATTATTATTTTATTTTTCGACCGGAACACGTGTGTCGGAAACATTTGTAAAGAAAGTTAATGGTCATTTTGTGAAGGGGCTTTGTCCCGTTCACATCCGGTTCTCGCTCTTGAGTATTTGCCTGTAAATCAGCCGAGATATGTCTTATTTTATTTTATAACAGTGGCTCTGAATGAGAAAATCGGAGAGCTGAGTTTGAATTCTAGTTGTCTCCATTACATTCATTTTCACAGAAATGCCCTTGGGAAAGATATGAATCCATCTCTTCCCCTCTCAGCTATGGGTTAAAGAGTAGGACTTGTATCTGGAAAAATCATTGTTATCTAAAAAATAAAATGTTAATACTATTTTCACTTACCACCCCCACAAAAAAAAGAAAAAGAATTATACTTACAATCCAAAATATCTTTAAGCTTTATCCCATTTATGTTTAATCCACAGCAAACTCACCCTGTAAATATCAGCTCTCAATGTTCAACCACCCTGTAACCTGCCCCACGTATACTCTTCCATAATATATGCCGACATCATTGCAGATAGCAGATTGAGTCATCCCATCTTGACAGCTATCTCCTTTTCAGTCTTGCCAGTATCCCACGTATGAATGATGACTTTCTGTGCCTCTAATACATCCTTAACTATTGCCATTTATGATACTGGGTGACAATATGATGAACACCAAAGATTCAACTCTTTTTGTACCAATATGTTGACCTTGAGTATACTCATGAAACGACCTTGTATAAAGGGTTCAGTTTGACATTCCAACCACCTGAAGAAGGCCAGAGTGTACAATGGCCGAAATGTTGCAATAAATATGGTGACAAAGATGAGGACAATAGTCTGAATAATGTAAATAAAGAATTCTTTGGATAATAAATCCTTCTAATTATTCAGTTTAAATGTCTCACCTTATTTTTGTGATGAATATAATGTTGTATTTTACTAATCAAAAACACGAGTCAAACAAGGCCCATCATAACAGTATATTAATTCGATATATTGTTAAGAGTAAACTATCCAATTTCAAACAACAAATATAAAAGTTACAAGCAAAAAAAATTGGATTATTCCATTTTTCTAAATCTTTTTTTTATAACCAAACCTGTACACCTGCAATATTTTTAAAGTTACTTTCTAAAAGCCTGTAGGGACATTATTATTATTATTATTATTAATAAAAATAAAAATATAAAATAATAATAATATCACGAAAGAAAATAAAATAAAACAAATAACATAGATAAAATAAAATGAAACAAATAGCATTAAAACTTTGTTTGAAATAAAATAAATAAAACCAAAATAATAAAAGTTCTCTCAGCATGCAACAGAAAACTTTCCTGTCTGAGAAATGGATACTTTGTGCCTAAAAACATTCAACTCACTCTCTTTTGCTATGGACTCTCAAAAGGGTCAAGACGTCCATTTCCTCTCCTTGGCACCTTGCTTGAAATAAGATGAAGTGACTTTCTTCTTCTATTACATGCAACCTTATAACATGTATAACTAAAATACACACACCAGTAGACAGAAATAAATAAAATTATATGATTTTCATTTACAATTCGACATTGTGTTATTTCTTTGTATGTTTTTATTCCTGTGAACATGTGGCTATCCCTGCTGGTATGATGTGAGTAACTCCACAAGCTATAAAAATAACTTTTTTTTACCTACACCATAATTGCCATCTTAATGAAAGAAAGAGAATCATAGTCAACCTGATCAATTTAATTACAGGTGACAATATATTACTTACCTGAGCTATGTTATCCATCATTCTTTGTATTTCACTTTTGCTTTTGTAAGCAATTTTCTCGAACATTTGTAAGTATTTCAGAAAGAGTTGTTGTACCTACAAAAGATAAGGTTGAGTTTTATTAATTCTACCAAAATAGAATTATGTGTGACAAAGATTTTGTTTGACTATACTGTATTTGAAAAGGAAGAAAAATGAAAAATCTTTACAAATTGTGGGTAACATGGCGGCATAAAAAGCTGGGTGCAGGGAGAGAGAGTTGGCTTTTCTTTTTAATGTTCTTTTGTTGCATTGGAGCAACATTTTTTTTTTGTTGGTAAACATCTCATGAAACCGACAAATGGAAGAGGAGGGAAAAATTACATCAGTGGCTTGCCAGGTAAATTGACAAATTTAAAGAAAGGGATGTGCAAAAGTTTGTGGTAAAGATAAAGGAACCAAGGGTGAGTTTGATTTTTTTGTTCTTGAACACAAACTACATATATGTAAAGGTAAGTCAATGAAACTCAAAGAAATGTGCAATGCACAAATACACTTTCTTCACTGCTATCTGTTGCATTACATGCATATCATGACAGAAAATATTGAAATGAATAAAAAATATAGCAAGATACTTATAATGCCTTACATATCTATTATTTTTTTAACAACATTCTATTTAACAAACACTCCTTTGAATTGATTTTATTATTGGTTTCAAATCCTGAAGAGAAATGGTATTGCTGTAATGATGTCTTATTGCATATTTTGTATTTGAAGGTATGCAAAATATTGTTTCAAACTCTTCCCCATGCAGAGTCAAAATTAAAAATTTTAAAGAATTTTATTTCTCTAAGTTTTATTCCTTGTGGACCATTATGTGCAGCAGAAAAGAAAACATTTTCTGACCAATCAAATTTTGCTGTACCTAGCTTTATCTGGGATCCATTTTATGAGATGATCCGGAACTCAAATTGTTACTTTCTGCTGTGAACAATAGGGATGTAAAATGTGATTGTCTCCCTTTCATTGAGATAGTCATGGGGGTCACATGACAGCTGGTGAGTGATATCAGGGGATAGAGTGATGAAGGCCAGTTGCTATGTATAGTCTGCAGAAAAAGGATGTCCTAAGCCCACTGTGGTAGGTCTTACAGGAAAAACCACATGATCTCACCAGGTTCATGCAGAAACCACTGTAACTCCAGTTTTCCCTTTTTACACACTATTTTTTTTTGTATACATGTTATAATTTCTTTGTGTGACACACACACACACACACATATATATATATATATATATATATATATATATATATATATATATATATATATATATAATATGATGTAGCATAAAACTCACATTGGGAATAAAGCATGTTTGTCATTCCTTTTCCTTTTAGCTATTCTGTTCTGCCTGTGAAATACAGGGTTATCATATCATGGATATAATAATGCCCATAATGGGGAAATAAATGGGAGAACAAACCTTTCTTCCAAGCTCTCCCATTATATCTCTTTCCACTCCTATTCTCATTGAACTCAAATACTGGTGCCTATGCAGCTGTCTATTCCAATTTTTTTATTCTTATTTTTAACCATGCATTACTATAAGCTATTACACAAACCTTCTAGGGAGCTCTCACCAACTTGCGGATACTGAGCTGACCTATATATGAACTCCTGCTAACACAGAGCCAAACAGACCTATACTTGGATTTCCCATGAATTCTGCTCAGTTAATTTAAATTTTTTTTATTCAAGTATTGGCAATAAAATTAATTTGAGGCTATTCTATCTTTTCTTTCATTTTCACCAAGTATATACTTTTTCTTCTCTTCATATTATTTATCAAAATCAATTCCAAATTACTGTGTGAGGTTTTGAGAAATGGTAGTTCTTGTAGGTCATATTTTTGTCACCTTAACTCGTTAATGTCCACTGTAAAGTCTGGTATTAATTACAAGAATTAAAATATAAATCCTCTATTGATTATAGGCTTATAAAATAACCAGTATTATAGGCTTTTACCGAACCTTTTGAATTGCAGTCAGGTCTATTACATTCATTTATGTGCAAATACCCTTGGGAAAAGTATGAATCTATCTCTTCTCCCCACAGCTATGAGTTGAATAGCAGGACAGACTGGGTCTTATAGCCTTGGTTGGCAACCAGTCTATCACAGAAAAAAAAAGAAATCTTTTACATGTCAGTCATGACTTATAAGAGACATGATCACCCAAGTGTGTATCATTTATGACACTTAACTGACTGCCCTAACCCTACTACCTATAATCTCCAAAATGGGATGGTAGACATTAATGGGTTAATCCTAAGTTGGAAATTATTTTAAAACCACTTTTAATACAACGTAGCATCTAAAATTTCTATGGAGAGAGAAACTGAAGAATCAGATGGAAAAAAAAAAAAATTTTCAAGCTTAAAGTGTAGAATTTATTGTTAATAATTTTCAAATAGGTTTTGCCACTAACTTGACCCTCTCATCCAAATCTAATACATATAAACTAAATATACAATATAAGCAGCTGAATTTTTTTCAGAAAAGTTGTAGGTAGCAAAACATGACAAGAAGAATATGTTGTATCCTTAAAGAGGTTACAAACAGACAAAGGTAATAATACTTGAGTGAAAGGAACAGCAACATGGGCGTAGATGAAAGACAGGTTTATTGTAAAAGAGAATACACTACTGAAAGATAGGGAATTGATTAGCAAGCTAGTAACTCCCGAAACAAGTCCGCCAGGTATATCTTGTGCTTACTATATATATCTACCGATATAGTCAGTCCACATATGCGATAGGGAGTGTGGGACATTTCATTACAACAGAATACAATAATACATTTCATAAATTCATATGAGAAAAAACTAGGAATCTTTTTTTTTTTACTAACTTACCTGTACTGATCGAATTTCTTCTACCTTACTGAATTTTTCATCCAGTTGTTGCATATAATTTTGACGTTGAGGTAAACGCTCTTGGATCTGATACCATAAGTTTTCAAGCCTTTTGTAGTTAAACTGGAGTATATCCTGTGTTAAAAAAGAAACATTTTTATGTTATCTGGGAATGGATGTTTAAATATAATTGCAGTTATTAAATATAGCCTGAAGGCAAGAAATTTGGCTTAATCTGTTTCTTCATGGCCAAAGTAGTACAGACACATAGGGCTAAATGGTAGCTTCCTCTGCCATGAGGATGCAGGTTCAAATCCTGCTGAAGAGTGCAAATTTTTCTTTAAATTTCAGGTCAGTATGCAAAAATAAATATACTGTTTAATATATAAACAGAGCACCTACTCAAATACAAGTATCCACTAATAATAATGTTTAAAGTGATTTTATATATATATATATATATATGTGTGTGTGTGTGTGTGTGTGTGTGTGTGTGATAAAATATATTTTTAAGGTATGCTATATTTATGGGTTAAACTACTCAATATCAGGGATAGAGCATATGTAAATATAAAAGTGAACATTGAAGTCAACACCCAGCAGCGACAGTCTGTTTCATGCTTATATGCAATCATCAGAACATGGCCTGATGATTGCATATAAATATGAAACAGACTGTTACTGCTGGGTGTTGACTTCAATGTTCACTTATATATATATATATATATATATATATATATATATATAATAGTTATTAACAATTATAACAAAAACATGTTATAAACTGCTACATAAATACAATCATCTTTCAACACTGTGTTCCTCCTCAGGTGGTGTTGCTCAACTGAAGAATAGATGGTCATTTTATGGTTTAAAAGTAGTAATGCCCTCAATGGGGAGGGGTGTGAGAAAAAATTGGCCTAAATTTCTAACAAGCTGGAGAGGGGGGCAACTGGTTGACAACCACCACCTGAAGAAGCACATACAATGTTGAAACATGATTGCATATATATAGTGGTTGCAAAAGTGAAAATTTCCACTAGATTAGGACTTTTATTTTTAATTAAAGATTTCTTATTTTCTGGCAAAAATTACCAAAGTGATGGTGTTAAATATAATGTAGTTGAAATAAAATTCATAAATGATTATTTTTGATGGTTAGGTAAGGAATGTTAAATAATAGTTTCAAACTATCATTTTTTAGTGGCAGTGTATTTTGGCTCAGATCTTCTGAGGCTGACCTTTAAGGTCAGATGGTAGACAAAATAGGGATGTCAATTTTGATTGGCTGGGCCGAACATGGGAATGAGTTATAGATTAAGGTTTTTCAGAATTGCTCTACAAGCGTTGAGCTAACTAAATGTATTAGATTGTGTTTATGCACCCCGCCCAAGTGAGGAAGGGTCTTTTGAGAGTTGATTGTTACATAACAAACGAAATGGATGTGTGAGATTTCATGTTTAGAAGTGGTTCCCTAATAGAGGGTATAGTAACCCCCACTCAATGGAAGATGTACCTGTTGACGTGGTTAATAATAATAATAATAAAATAATAATTAAATTTAAAGTTCTCATTGTTGATGCTTTTCGCCTCTTAACCCAAAGAATATTTCGCAACACCGACCAAGTGGATTAAACTAAAACAACCAGCAATCACCAGCCAGATGAGATAAAATCAAAAACAACCCCACCTCCAATGAAGGAATATACAACAAAGGATCTAAAGAATGACCTGTTAAATTAAACCTGTATTACTTCTTACCTCATCAGTTTCAATAAGGGAAAGGAGGTCTTCAATTTCCTTATCATCTTCCTCCAATTGTTGGAATAATGTTTGAGTAGCTTCTTCAATTAGATTTTCCAGTTTCTGGTAAAATGTATAGAAAGAAAATATGTACATTTATATATGGATTATACACTGATGTTCCAAAAATCAATGGAAAACATAGCAGATGGCACTATTGCCATGGAAATGCCCAGACCTAATATTAGTTGCATTCTGATATCTGGTGAATTGGTGATGATGAAGCTACTTATGATCAGGTGATATGAGTTATCAGAGATGGAAAAAGATATGATAGTTGGTACTAGAGAGAAAGGGAATTCCATTATCACATCAACTATATTTAAATCATAATAGAAACTGATGTAATGGAATAAACTGTCACCCCCATGAATGACTACACTATAGGTAGTAACTGCCTATAAGTATCTGTAGGCAATGGACTACAGAGTCTAGTTGTAGACAGAGGCAAAGAGGAACCCGGATGAGGCTCCACTGAAGGGGAGAGTCTTGTTTGGGTAGACTGCCCCTGAACCAGTTTATGCGGGTTCAAAAAGGGGATATTTTTGGCCGAGCCTACGAGCTTGAAGAACCCATGTTGAACCGGCCTTGTGCCACATGCAACTCTCGTGGGGTGGGTAGCTAAATATACTAGCTGTGACCTGTTCCAGCTAGACAGTTGAACTCTCTGCCTTCGGGTAGAGAAGAACCCGGACGAGTCTCTGCTGAAGGAGAGAGTCTCGTTCGGGGAAGTAGACTGCCCCTGAACCCATTTATATGGGTTCGAAAGGGAATATTTTTGGCTGAGTCTATGGGCTCGGAGAACCTACGTTAAACTGGCCTTGTGCCACATGCAACCCTTGTGGCGGGGTAGCTAAATATACTAGCTGGGATCTGTTGAATATGACTCAGACTTACGCAAGAACTACCGACCTTCCAATAGTAGCACTAACTACTGGATTGACTTGCAACAACCTTGTGCATAACTGTTACCTTTATTCTTATTGTACTGTTTTTTTACAATAAACCTTTATGTATTTTATCCACCATGTTTTTTAAGTATATATTCCTATTAGCACGGAATATAACAGAAATTATATTTAAATCATGACTTTTATATTATAGGAACTATATTAAATCATGACTTTTATATTGGTTTGGTTTGTTTTACGACATATCAACCTCAATGGGTGACTTAATGCTTGGAATATGTTTTTCTTCAAAAATCTATTTCTGGGAATATTTTCCTTGATGAAATTTATAGCTGGTCATATTTTTTTTTCAAAGAATGTATAACTGTTTGTATTGCTGGTATTTTTTTTTTTTTTAATTATTGCTGATAATAATTTTTCCTTCAAAAATTATTGCTGGTAATGATTTTTTTTTATTTCTGTATTTCTGGTATTAAAATCTATTTTTACACAAGTTTGGGTGTTAACTATTTGCCTATAGCTGGGACCACAACAGGCGCCACCACCCCAGGTCAGGGTGGACCCAGGAACACCAGCAACTAAGAGATGGTTCCATGCTCCTCAAAAACCTCCCGATCAGAGGCCCCACCACCGGACACAGTTCACCGTCCCACTCAGGACGCGGATGCAGTTCATCGTCATACCCAGGACGTGGATGTGGTTTATTGTCATACCCAGGACGTGATTTTTATATTGTAGAAACTACATTTAAATCATGATTTTTATATTATAGAAACTACATTTAAATCTGGATTTTTATATTATAGAAATTATATTTAAATTGTGATTTTTATACTATAAACACTATATTAAAATCATAATTTTTATATTATAGGAACTATATTTAAATCACTTTTATGCTATAGACACTATATCAGAATCTGACAGAAAGATAAGATAAAGAACAAATGGGAAACACTTATCAATCTAGCATGTTTCACTTTTAGGAAAGCTTCATCAGAGAATGAGTATGTTGTTTTTTTTATCATTCTGTCAGATTCTGATCCATATTTGATCTGTCTGGACATGGAAACTACTTAAAATAACACTCATTCTTTGGTGAAGCTTTAATAAAAGTGAAATATGCTAGTTTGATAAACATTTCTTATTTGTTCTTTATCATATAGAAACTATATTTAAATCATGATTTTTATATTAAAGAAGTATATTTCAATAAGGTTTGGTAATCACTGTCTTTTTTTTTTTTTATAAAGACAGCATTTACTTACAGAAGCAATGATATTGAGTTCATGGCTTAGGTCTTCAAGTGCTGCATCATGCCTGCAAAAATTATTATAATTTATTAGAACAACTTCCACATTTGAAAACATCTTAAAATCTTTAATGTAACACGAGAAAGAATTTGTGCCAAAGAGTAACCATTTTTTAAGTGTCAATAAGAGATAGTCAGAAAGGAATTCTCATTGAACAAAAAAATGCCCACTTGTTATTAACAAAACTGGCAACAATAAATAAAAGACAAAAAGATATTGTAATTGCAATTCGTATTTATCTATTTACCTTCCTACACAAAGTTGAAGTCATGCTTCAAAAGAAAAGAACTATTAAATAAAGCTTCACTCACTTTAAAAGGAGTAAAGGAGTTAATAACAACAAACTTCATGACAGTGTGGAAGGTGGAGGTGGTTGCTGGTAATTAAAATTTGGCCTTGTAAAAAGAAATTCAACTTGTCCACAAAGAAAAAGAAGTGGGATAATGCATAATAAGCACGCATAATCTTTATCTTACATAAATTACCTTCTGATACATTTTCACTCAGCTACAACCCATAATAAATCCTTCATATATTAGGGGGGGGGGAATGGATTCTTGCCTTTCCCCATGGGGTATTTGCGTGTTAGTAAATGTAACAAAGCTGATTGAAATTCAAACTCAGCTCTCCAATTTATTTTGAGTTTTTATACCACTTGCACATACAATTAATAAGAGAGGACAAGAAGACATTATTTTAGTTTTAAGCAAATGATTTTTTTTTTTTACCTCATATGACGGGAAGTTTCAATTCTCTCAACAATATTTGATGAATGTGGTTTGGAAGCTGAAAATATAGACAAACAATCAGAAGAAAATAACAATACGGCATTAATAAAGAAAGTGCAACAATATTTAGGCTGACTTCAGTAATAAAAAGGAAAAAAAAAGGAAAACAATCAAAAAGAGCAGAATTTTTAGGCCAATCATAATTTATCTGCATTTATTTTATTGGTCAAAATAGAAGAGGGGTTTTTTAAAAATTTGAATATTTGAGTTTTCAGACTGTTTCAATGATGCAGAGAAAATTAAACAAATTATAGACATTTTTTCCCATAATATTTAGAGATTTGCTATTTTAACCCTGTTTTCTTTTTAAAATCGTTTTTGTATTATTTTGCATCAATATCATTGTTTGTTATTGACTATTGAAATCTGCATCAATAAATTGTAAGGCATTCAATAAAGGATTTGCCATTTTTTTTTTTGTGGAAGACATGTTGAGTAATTACCAGAGTAAGCAATGAAAATGGATCAACTTTTGAAATCAAGTCTAATTAACAAATACTTTACATTTTAACTGGAAGAGATGCAAACAGAAAAATTCCCTTTAAAAGAAGGTTATGTTAGGTTTGTTTTGTTTTATGGCATATCAACCTCAATGGGTTATTTTTTAATATTTTTATTGCTGGTAATAATTTTTTACAAAAATGTATTGCTGGTAATAAGACCTATTACAAAACCTATTTACATTTTCATAGTGTTTTGACCATGGTTTGGGGGTTAACTATTTGCCCGTAGCTGGGACCCTAACAGGTGCTACCACCCCAGGCCAGAGCAGACCTGGGAACATCAGCAATTAAGAGTTGGTTACACGCTCCTCAAAACCTCCAGATCAGAGGCCTTGCTGCCAGATGTAGTTTATCATCATAACCAGGACGCTCTAAAAGAAGAAACAGTGCAACTTCACATTTTGTTCAAATAATTAATGATGTATTTATTTTTTTAATAATGTAGTTTTGAGAAATTTAATGAAGACAATTTTTTTTTTACAATGATGTTCACCCTGTACAAGGCCCAAGAGCCACTCGAGGTAGAGGGCTACAGAGAGTAAGAGGCACAGTTTATGCAGAATTTAGTATCTCAAGATATTTTTATGTCATTTTGGTAAATATACCTGTTAAAATGAGATGTCAGTATCATTTTCATTTTTGCGTAATTTAGATGACAATTTATCCATCGAACCCTGTAGATATATACCAAAAATACAGCGATTTAATAGAACCATTTGCAGAACTGCATAAAAAGAAGAGTGAGTTCAAACAGACTAAAAGGCAAAACTTAGAGTTTGAGGATTTAAAAAAGATACTTGTAGAAAAACCCATTGTAAATATTGATCCCAAAAAGGAGATTACACTAGCTACTGAAGCAAGTGAGTGATGTACCTTTCAAAAAGATTGATGGGCGCAGAAATGAATTATTCAAATATTGAAAAGGAGGCATTGTCCATTGTTTGGAACACAAAGCTTTACAATTTTTATTAGGTAAGAAGTTCCTGTTAAAGTCAGACCATAAACCTCTAGAGTTTGTTTTTAACCCTGGAAAAGAGCTACCAAAAGTTAATTCTGCCAGAGTTCTAAGGTGGGCAATAAAATTAATGACATATGATTTTGACATTGACTATGTAAAAGGAAATACAATACCACATGTCAAGGTGTTGTTAAGGTTACAATTTAATAAAGATCAAAAAGGAAAAATGGAAATCCCAGATGAGGAAATATTACATTGATTGACTGCTTCCCTTACAAAACACCACTGTATCACCCACAATCTAATGGAATTGCAGAAAGAATGGTGCAGACAGTAAAAATGGGATTGAAAGCATTTCCCTCAAATACAGATACTACAGACAGTTACTTACCAAAGTTACTGCTTAGTAATAGGAAGATTCCACATGCAGACAGATTGCGTTTAATGGGAAGACAAATAAAATCTTCATTGACAATGTCTTACACGACAAATGAAAAAATGTGGTATAAAAAAGGTGAAGTAGCAAGTTCCAAGAAATCTAATTTTATTATGAAAAGTGGACATAATAATTGAAGAGGAAGATGTTGTGATGGAAGAAGATCTTGACGGAGAAGAAAGGATGAGTTCTTCAGATCAGGATGATATAATAGATGATGAGCTTATGGATGATAGCAGGAGTGATTCAGACATGGAAGAAGATGGAATGAGACCAAGATCTCAATTAAAAAGAACAGGACATAAACCCCATGAAGAAGAGGAGGAAAGAGGTTGTAGAAGTTCAAGAACAATGAAAGGCATTAAACCTCCTCAATTCAGGGAGGTGTAATGGGATTGGCAAATAGGATTTTATCTATTTGCATATGTTGGTTATAAAAGGAATAAAGTATGGAGTAAAGAGACAGAGGTGATCACATGTCTTAGAACAACACTATACAACACTGGAGATGTACTATTAATTACAGCTTGTCTTTGGACTACTTTTATGGTTTTTTTGTCTTGGTCATGAATTTAAAATGGCTTAAGATTTGTCTAAACTGAGAAGTATTCTTTTGTTCATTTTTATTTTTTTTAATCATTTCACCCCAAGCAAGGCAGGAATGCCACTATGTTGACGGCACGCAGAAAAGGTTCTCTGTGGTGGTTAAATGAGAGCAGTTTTGTTTTAGTGTCATTAAATATTGATGAAAAAAATTGCTAAATCTATAATTTAATAATCTAAGAAGCCTCTTGTAAAGTCAGAGAGATAACAATTTTTTTACTTTAAAATTAAAATAAAAAAAATACATTAGCTCCTACTCATTAAACATAATTCGTTCTTTTAGGAAAACAATAATTTTTAAAAATTACAGAATGACCTCTAAGCAAGCTGCAGAGAAATGAAGAAATCTTGTTAGAAACAAAGAAAACAGGGCTGGATTGTTATGTGTTATCTATCCTCTTATAGACAATGAATACTAGACAATAACCCTTTGGATAAGCAAGAAAAACAGAAGAAGAAATGTGATTCTATAGAAGGATTCTGACAATTCTATGGATGGAGCAATTAATTGACAAGGAAGTCTTAAAGAAAATGGCAACAGAAAGAGTACTTCTATTCAAAATCAGGAAAAGACAGCTGAAAATCCTTGGACATTTAATGAGGAAGGAGGGCTTGGAAAACTTAATCCTCTCAGTGCATAGTGAGGGAAAGAAAGATAGGGGAAGGCAGCAAGCCACTTGCCTAACGAGTTTGGGTGAATGGATAACAGAAGTGGGGGTGGGATCCTTAACAAATTGAAAAAACCTGCTAAGGGCCACAAGGGATAGGAAGTTGTAGAGAACCATGATCACCTATGGCCTGATGTAGAAGAAGTCAGATAAACAGAAGTTTAAGTTGTGTTGAAATAAAAAATTATTAAAAGGCTCACCAACTGTTTCAGGTAAGGCTTGAACCATGGACTTCTCAGGTGGATATTGGTTCTTCTTTTTTTTGGCTTGAATATAATCAGCATGTTGTCTGAGAAAATTAAAAAAAATCATTCATCATTTCAAGTTGGGTAAATAAATTATTAAAAAAATAAGTTTATACCATATTGTAAAACACTCAAAATTTCTTGTATCCAATATAAAATGATAAAGAGATTTTATGAAAAAAAATAATACACATTTGTTGCGGGTGGTATATTGGCCACAAAACAGATATTAAATGACAAACAAAAACAAAGACTTGAGTAAAAAAAATATATTGCCAAGTTTATTTTTGTTAAAGAAAATACACTGACAAAAATAAGGTTACAGTGCTCTAGTTAAAAAATATCTCTGCAAGTTCATGTAGTGAGTGAGAATAGCATTGTCCTGGGGGACTGTTTTGTAGTCATTGAAAATTGTTGTCCTGAAAAGGATAGTTTTGTAGTCGTTGAAAAGTCTTGACTTTAAAAGAGCAGTTTATTGTATATCATTGCTTCTGGTGAGGATAGCTAGCTAGAGCTGGAGACCTGCTAGAGCTGCTGCTGATGACTGAAGCTGCTGATGCCTGGCTGGAACAGCTGGCTGGCTGCTGCAACAGATATTACACTGTGATCCTTGGCCTCCTGGTTGCAAATTGTTGTTTTTTTGTTGATTTTTGAGGCCTTTTTATATGTTAAATCAGTTTTACAGCAGTTGTTGGTCATTAAAGGTGAAGTTTCTCTTGCCGGTTGTTTATTTAAAAATGTGGGAGTACCGACAGGATATGACACGTTACTTATAAAAGATTTACATACTCTACAGCTGAAATTTCTGAATTCTATTCTTAGAATAAAAAAGAAATCACAGTTTAAGTAAGTCCTCAGGTTACTATAAAGATTTGTGGTTCCAACACAATCTCCATTAATCTTGTTTTGATTTCTGGCATTTGCCTTGTACATAAGGCAGCATGGGTCAGTTCCTGGTTGTACGCTATATTGGAATGTTATGCATTATTTCTCTTTCGTTTGTGTTGCAATATGAGCTCTGGTAAAAAAACATGCAATGATAACAGCAAAAATTGAGCACTGATAAAAAATGGTTGCTGAAGACATTAGGTTTATAAGTCCCAGAAATTCACACACAGATGTCCTCAAGGACACATGGCACAGAGGATAAAGGCGTTAGATCCAGTGACAGGACCCAAAGATTGTAAGTTCAATACCTGGTTAAGTGGAGAACTTGGAGAGGGGAATTAACAGGAGATAACTGATAACTGACATCCATTAGACATGGCACATGGAACTACCCCAGCGAGTGAAATAAAGGGTCCAGTTCGACATTCCAACCACCTGAAGAAGGCCGGAGCATACCATGGCCGAAACAAAGATGAGGATGATAGTCTGAACAATGTAAATAGTGTATTTGAATTTCACAAACACACAATATTTAATATAAATATAGTTGGTTAATATCTGGGGTTGCGAAAAATCTCATGATGAAAAATGGGGTCACGAAGAAGTGCTGTCCTAGATAGAAGAGTGATGTAAGTGCTTATTCATGGAAAATCATGGGTACATTCCGGGTTACACAGAAAATCGCATTACAACACATCTTAGGAATAGAATTACGTTGTAAGTTGAGTAATTCCCTGATATATGTTGAAAAGTTCTTGACCGAACCCACTTTCTAAAATTTGATTAATGACCATGAGACTTTTTTCTTGAAATGCTTCTTAGTTGGGCTGAGAAACTTTCAGAACCTACTTGAATAATAATTAATGTAAATAATGGTAAGTAATCACTACTTTACTAATTAAAAACATTAAGGAAAATTTGTTAAACCTTTACTATTATTAGAAGGTTAGTTTTTCAAGATCATATTGGAGGGTAATGGGATGTGAGCTGACAGATAATTCCACTTCTTAATAGGTACCAACCTACCAAAAATCTCTTTTTTTATTTCTAAGAGACAATGAAACTTAAACTATGTTAAAATCTAAATAAGTAGTTAAAATTCATTAAATAAGAGAAAAAAAAACCTCTGACATCTTCACCTAAACTTTGAAATCTTATTCAGTATTTTTTTTTATTTATTTTTTTTCTCTCATATTGTGAGTAGATAGGTTCACTAATCATTTGGTTCACACTCATCTCCGGTCTTTTGAACAAGTCTTTAGGAAGTAGGGAAAATTGGGGCCATCATTTTCAAAGATGTTAAAGAAGTTTGGGAATTCTATAGATTTATTGCTTTGCTCATTGATGATAGCATATATCCTTACCACTTTTCCTGGTTGCCCTGATAGGTAGATGTTAACCAGGCTGATTTTAGAACATGACTTTCCAGAGAGGTCACCACCCCAAATCTGAGTGCATTTTGATACCACTCTGGTTGCTGTTGGGGACTTCTCCTCTCCACCATAGATCCTGGTGGGTTTAGGGTTCATGGTCCATACTACATGGTGGTGGTCCTGGGTGGAGAGCAGTGTTGTGAGCCTCACTGTTGCACTCATTGCTTCTGATGTTTACTCTGCAGAATCTTGTTCTCTGTGTTATAGACGAACAACATTTGAAGCAGATCCTGTGTCCTTCATGAATGCCTCTTGCTCTTTGAGAGATTTCTCTCAAAAGGCACACCATTTTAACAAGAGATGAGGTTTCTTGTGCAAGAGGAAATAGTCAGTAGGGTCCTTATCTTTCCTGCTTTGCCGGTGTGTATGGTTGGGTGCTTTGGTTTTATTCACTGACATGACTCTCTCTCGCTCTCTCTCTCTCTGCTGTCATTTGAGGCGGGTTTACCTGATGGTGGATTGTATCTGAAGCTTGGATAGTTTCTAATCCTTGCTTGTTTCATGACAAAATCCATGAAATTGAAAAAAAGGGGGAAAAGGAAAATGATGTTGATCTTTATATTTCGTTTCATCCTTGTGTGAGGTCTAGATTTCTTGTGGCACCCTGGAGTTATATAGAATTTTAGTGTTTTTGATTAGAATTTTTCTTGAAGTGCTTGGGACAATGAAAATGATGGAAAATTTCTGTAATTCCTTACTCATAGAAAACAGAAAAATGTAAGGATGCTGGAAAAATTAAATAAAATATTAATTAAATCTTCTTTGTATGCTGTATTTAATGGAAGATGTGTAAATTAAAAGTTACTGCCCAAATATACGCTAATATATATATATATATATATATATTCATGAATTATTCACACAAAAACAAAAGCAAAGGTTAATGATTTAATTGGCGAGAAATGCATCATCGCAAACAATTCAAATAATATACAAAAACCTCCGAATCCGTTATGAATGAATTGATCCTTGTTTCCATAAATTTCTGCCATATTAGTTCTTATTTTTACTACAAGCTTTCGTCTGTTCCTACAGACATCTTCAGGTATAGAATAGATGTTGTTCTTGTTTTTTCTCTTAGTAATAAGAGGACAACGAAAATATATGTATTGTTGTATCCGAAAATGCTATTGAAAATGAGTTATTGTTTTTGGAGCGCGCCAGTAGCAACGCTGAGTTTGATTTTAAATTTTTAAAGGTTGTGTGTTCATATAAATATGGTGATGAACGAATTTTTTACTGGTAAATTTTCTGTCAAAGTGGCATGAACTATATTGTTCAATAATTACAGTAATGTCACACTTATTATCCAAAAGTCGCACTTGGATCAGTTATTTAAATTACGATAAACGTGCAATCAATTTACAAATTCATGAATTATTCACACAAAAACAAAATAATCTGTAAAAAATGTTATAAAGTTTAATGCACCTAGTTTTAAGTATAGCTAAAATAACTAATGTGATTTCAGGCATTACTGTAAATCAGTTGGCAAATGTTTTCCGTGAACTGCAAAATCGTATTACCCTTTGTATTGCTAATGATGGAGGACATGTGGAAACTTAAATAAAATTTCAACAGAACCTTAAAAAATATAGATTTACTTCTTCCCAATCCTTTTTACAAATTATTTTTATTACAAATAAAGTAATAAATTTTTTAAAGTGCACACAAACTTTATGGACACCCTATATATATATATATATATATATATATATATATATATAAAAACAACAAATAGGAATGTTTATCAATCAACAATCTAACATGTTTCACTTTTGTTAAAACTTCATTAGAGGAGGAGATATGGAGAAAAAGAAGAAAAAAATTCTGGTATTCTTACTTTTGTGTTGTTTTGATTTTCATTGGTTAATCATGTTTCATGTGAATTTGACTTTTTAAACCAACGTTAATATAACTTTTGGCATTCTGAATTTAAGGAGAGACACCACGTCCATTCAAATTTACAAAAAAATTAATGAATTCCAAGCCTATTTGAAAAAATGTAAATATTGATTTATGTATATAAGTATAAGACAAACTAGAATCATGATCTACATACACGCATGAATATACACATGGACACTGCTTGACAGGACAGATTTACACAATGTCTGTTTAATCAAGGAAAAAACAGACAACACAAAAATAAAAATACCAGAATTTCCTTTTTCGCCTTCATATTTCATTTTCTGATGAAGCTGTAGGGGTACAAAAGGCAATTATCTTCTTTTGATTGAGATTAAGTCATGTGGCAGCCACTTAGTGACATCATTGCATAGTGATAAAAGTGACAGTCATCTAGTCAGCTTCAAGAACTCAAACTAAATAGTTGCTTTTGAGCCTGGGCCTCTTGCGCCAGGTTGAGGTTAAATCTGCTACTCCCAACCACATGGAACAGCTTAAAAGCCTATGGCACCATTTTCCTATGGAAATATCTCTTCATCAGATACAGAAAATATCTCTGGCTTGAGGCCTTCATATTGAAAAAAACCAAGGCTTGCCATTTCCCATTTGTGGAATATGTCCTTGCTAGAGACATAGCAGATACAGCTGGCCTACTCAAATCTGGAACCCTAAACATGGTTTCTCCAGAAAGAACCTCCACATTATATGAGGACCCTATCTTTTCATTTTCTTTTCGCTCTGCTTGTTGTGTTGTTATATGTTATATTTTCTCTGCATGGGACATGTGTAAATATGCATACATAGTTTTGTGCATCTCTTAATACTTAATAGTATAAAACTCTCTCTGAGAACAAAGCATGTTTGCTATTTCTTTTCCTTTCAGCCATTCCATCCATGAAATACAATGTTATTATATCATGAATATAATAATGCCCATTATGGGGGAAATGAATATAGGAGAATAGACCTGTCTTTCATAGTGCTCCCATGATCTTGGAGACTTACCTGATAATATATTATTTACCCCCCACCCCATTAAAGCTTTAATAAAAGAAAAAATGTTAAATTTATAAACATTTCCTATTTGTTCCTTATCCTATCATATGTCTACATATGAAACTGTATAAAGCAAAACTTTTTTTCTTAAACATTAAAAAAATATGTTTATTGTAATAAGAAATTATAGGGATAATGAAACGTGATTATCTCCCTTTGGTCAAGATGAAGTTGTGTCAGCCTAAGGATAGATGCTTAGTGACAAAAGTGATCTGTCAGTCAGCTTCCAGGAGTTAAACTGAGAATTTGCTTTTTTTTTTTAAGCACAGGCCCCTTGGCTCAGGGCTGAGGTGAAATCTGCTTCCCACATCCACATCCACATCCACATGGTGCAGCTTACAGACCTATGGTGCAGTTTTCCTATGGAAATATGTCCTCACCAGATACAGAAAATATCTCTGGCTCACATTCCTCAATCTGGGAAAAACCAAAGGCATGTTGCTCCCTATTTGCAGAATATATCTTTGCAAGCAACATAGCAGATGAATCCAGCCTGCTTGAATCTGGAATCGTAAATATGGCTTCTCTAGAAACATGTAAGACATTCTTTTTTTTGTCGTCTTTCATTCTGTTGTTGCATATATGTTATAATTTCTCTGCATGGGACACATGTAAATAAACATATATAATTTTCTGTGCAACTTAGTGACATAAAACTCTCTCAGTGGGAAGATAGCATGTTTGTCATCTCTTTTTCATTCAGCTGTTCCATTCTATCTGTGAAATGGATTTAATAATGCCCATAATGGGGAAAGAACAAATGGGGTAATAAACCTTTTTGACATAGCTAACCTATAAAAATAATGTTGAATTAAAAAAATCATTTAAAAATTACCATGTTTACGTTTTGAGTACAAAAATGAAGCTAGTAGATATAAACAGAAAATAGCCGCAATGAGAGGCACACATTCAATTGAGCCTTGCTTTATCATGATGATCTCCTGTGGCCAAATTGGTGGCAGCATGCTTTGGCATAAGAGTCTGTGTTTATTAATTTCATCTGATCTAAAAATAAAAAGGTTTGGTTTGAAATTTACATACTTGTAAAGAACAGGATTTTCTGTGTATATGTCAAAAGGTAAACCATTCAACCAGTTTTTCTGTCGAGAGTTAAGTAAGCCTTGTGCACTAGCTTCACGGCTTGTGTCTATAATAGGCAAACCTTTCTTGACCACAGCTGTGTTTTGGGACTTGGGCTGAACCAGTTGATGATGAAGCAAAGCCTGGAACATAGAAACATCAAATGTGAAATACACAAGTATTAATGTGGCAGATTTTATGAGCAGATAAAGTATTTAAGTATAGGAAAATAATTGTATAAATAAAAAGATTATTTTAATATATATAGCAAAATATAGCATAAATTAAATATTTAATAAATAAAATAATAGTATGAATATAAAGATTATTTAAAAATACATATAGCAAAATATAGTATCAGACATCCCGCCAAGAGACATGGAATTCAATCTCTTTGCCCAAGGACTGTTGTGATGACAACACATAAGTTCCCTCCATGATAGGACTTGTGATATTACGGAGTAACTTGCTCCCTTTTATAATCTGAACATCATCACAGTTGTAATGTAACACACACACACACACAAATACATAAATAAAATTGTATGAAATTATCATACAATTTACCATGTTTTTCCTTATTGTTATTGTGTATGTTTGTTGTTTTTCCTCGTGAACACAAGCCCAAACTTATAACCACACAGTATGAGTGAATAAAATTCCAAAGCTTTATGGTGACCACCAGCATGTACAAGAAAAGCATAAAAATGCACCACACCCTAAGCAAAGGGAAAAAGAGAGAGAGAGAGTTTCTTTTTGTTTTGAAAAGATAGGTTTTTAAATCTGTCAGTCAGCTGCTGTTGCTGCTACATATCTTCTCTACAGCCAGTCATCTGTGTTGGGGCTTAAACTCACTACAATAGTAACCACTGAAGCAAAATACTGTTATTGATTTTTGTCTTACTCATCAACAATGAGACTATGGATTTCAAGCAAAAATATCTATTTCCTCATGATTGGTGATTTGTGTCCACAGTGATCCATAGCTAATCATTATGAATCAAAGAAGACTTATAGTGAACTTCATTTTGAAGCAAAATAGAGTGAAACAAAACAAGTGAGGAAAATGTTGGATAAATCCATGGACTTTGCCAGGCAAATGCAATAAGTTATAGAATTGAAGAGGATGTTGAAATAATAATGTCCCTTTTAACTAGACAAATTTACTGATGTCTGAAGGGGCCCTGAAGATTCAGCTGATAACCGATTGGTGAGGATAGTCAGTTGGTGTTTAGCTGACCACAGAGGATAATAGCAATTCCCATATCTCTGAAAGGGGAACTTAAGAGATATCATCAGGGCTGTACTAGGCCCTTTTTGGGGACATTACAAGCAAGATCTTTTTATTCATCTTCTTCAAATACTACTTGCTTTTTTCTTTATATGTATTTTAATTTTTCTATGTGGGGCAATTTGTGACATATATACTTATTTGTTACATTTTAGTATAACTTATATTTGTGTACTTCAGTGTCGTATATAAAATGTTTTCATGTATAACTCATTTTTGGAATTTATTATTTTGGGTTATTCTAGTCATCCCTTTAAGTGGTGTTGAGGTGTTAATATATCATGGATATACTAATGCCTATAGTGGACCTTGTAGAGTGGTGAAGACCAACATATTTCCTCTCTCTTTCAAAGCACCTCTATTGGAATTTAGAATAATCAGAAAATAAGATTAATCAAAAACAGAATTTAAAAAAAGGATGCTGAATGGCTAAAGAAAGACTAATCACAGCGCTTGTAAGAGTCATGTGACACTGGCTATGGAAGTGTCAAATTCATTCTCTTCTTATTCTTTTCTTCCACCATGTTACTCAGGCAGCATGAAGCAAAACCTTCACCACAGTGGCATCAGGTTATGAAAGAACATAGCCAGCAACCTTAAAAGAAATTAATACTATCTATTTAAGCTAGACAAGGACTGAAAGGGACCTTTGTTTTTAACAAGGACAGCTGATAAGATACCTGGATGCCTTTTTTCTTAAGCTAAGTTAACATTTACATTTCTCATGAAAAGAAAAAAAAAGAAAAAAAACAGGAGTATTTAAAAATAATAATATTTAATTCTAAACTATATACCTTTCTCTCCCACAGATGCAATGCTGCAAGCCACCAACTACTCTATTACTATTTTCATGGAAAATGTTCAGGTAAACTACATTCCCCAGGTATGTCATCCAGATTTTTTAATATTAAAATCCAAATTCAAATGAACATCCAAATTCCAAACAATAATAAAATAAAAATAAAGAAAATGTGGATATGCCATTTAAATAAATCATTTGTATTTACACACATATGTACATGAATTCAAAAAAGTCAAAAAAGAGTAAAAATAGCTTTTGATTGAGTTAAAGTGTTTGTGTAGATAGGTCCACAGAAAAACTTGTGGTTAACATTGATCATCAGCGAGGATTCATTGATCATCCCTGCTGTTGTTGTTGAAGATTGATTCATTTGAAGTCGATGACACATTTCTTTCAACATGCACTGGTGGCGCTTTAGAGGAAAAAGCTATGTAGTCACATCTCTTGTGGTTGAACAGCTTGGAGACAGTCGTATTTCTGCTGGTGAAAGTTGAAAGTTGTGGGTTTTTATCAGAAATTTTTCCTGAATGTAGGCTTGAGAAAAATAGGGTTTTAGTTTTCTGTCATTGGTCAAATATTTCACATGGTCATGTTAATTTCTAACCAATAAACACTTTGATTTAAACAGTGTCTGTTGTCTTGTGGAATCTTTTTGTCGTGTTTGTAAATAGTGTCTGTTATTGTGTAGAAAATAATGTTTGGGTGTGTTTTAATATGGTATGTATGTGGATATGTAATTGTGTTGGAATTAGGGTTTATTTCCTATAGTTCCACCAGTTCAAACCTAAGGCCTGTTATATACATAGGGGACCAACCATCTTCGTTCTGTTCGTATCTGATTGAAAAGAAGGAAGTCCCATTCGAGCAATTTATTGAGGGCTGTGACATAATGGAACAGACAGAGGATGCTTCCCCGACCACTATAATCTTAATCCTTTCAAATCTACAGTCAACTGTTATCTATCCTACATATCCTCATAATCTGCATTGACTTCCTCCTCCTATGTCCATACAAGAACCCCATTTAGTAACCCCCTACCTTGAGTGGCTCTTGTGCCTTGTAATGGGTGAGCATTTAGTAAATGTGTGTGTGTGTGTTCTATTGGGGAGGGTAAAGAAAAATATTTTCAAAGCACTGTTCACCTGTTACATGCAGGTCACTTTTTGTTCAAATTTAGGTAATAATGACACAAGTGGGAAAATAGGAAAAAATGGCACAAAGTGAAAACATACAGGAAAAAAATGAAATGCACACATAATCTATTCAGTAAATTCTGAAAATAAATATATATATAAATATCGAGCCAGTAATGCTCTAATCAGATGCCAGTTGACTCCTGGTTTTGTTGTCAATGGTTCAATTATTGAACAGAGCACAAAACTAGAAAGCCTTGTGCTGAATCCTGGATTAGAAATAGGTTCAGTTGTCCTGGAACTGTTAAGCACCCCATTGATATTGTAGTGGAAGCCTGGTCACCTAATGTGGGTTTTTTTTTGTATGGCCTTGTGTCAGACGACCAAACTCCCACGTACAAGTATAGTTGATACTCCTTTTGGATATCAATGGTTCTCAACAAGGTTAGCAATGGTAGAGAATGGATATAATTGTAAATACATAGAACTTTGACTTTTGCTTATAGTTGACAGGTGGAGATTCTGGAAGAGTTTGTGATGAATGCTTGTTGCTTTTCCTTTTTTGGAAGAGAATTTTGTATTATGTAGGAAAGTCGGAAAGTTGAGCTAGGATTGAGTCAAGGATGATGAAAGGTAGCCTCAGGCAAAGAAGTTGATTATAAAAGGTCTATTACCAAAGTCTAGGTGTTTGAGCCATATGGTGAAGTGGGAGAGACGGAAAACGCATCTTCCCAACTCGATGCCTACAGATTGTCTCTTGCATATAGATAGTTATTAGCAGGGATCCGATAAGTCATGCGACTTTTGACTGGCAGCAAATGCCAACTGTCAAGCCACTTTGAATAGGTGTCCATTCCAAAACAGTCATGTGCATTAACTTTGAAAGTGTTGGGTTGTTGCTCAAAGGGGTAGCAATGACAATGAAGAAAAGAGAGAAAAAGAAAAGGTTTGAGGCAATCATTGATGGAAGGAGGGTGTGTGCTGATAATGTCAGTGGCTCTAACATAATCCCATTGTGGAAGTTATAGCAAGTAATAAAGGAAAAGAGAAGATTTGCTTGCAAGGGTAGATGTATACAAAACAGATTGCAAGATCAACTACTATCAGATGGAGATGTGTTTAAGAGAACATCTTTTTGTAAAGGTACCATGACCACCATCCTTGATATGACTTATCCTGTACCAGCTAAAAAATCAAACCACACTCCTTATTATGCAGCTATTGCATCCACGAAATGCATCAACAACATTAAGAGAAAAGCAGCAAAAACAGAAGATCAACTTAGCCAGATTTATAACAATAACCTGGGACTTACCAGCTGAGGCAAAGTGAAGACATCATAAAAAAGAATGTTGCGTAACAAAAGAGCAAAACTCTATCCACAAGTACCAGAAAGACTTGAAGATCTGCATCTTGCTGGAGAATGGACTATAACTGCTGCTTCTTGGCACTGTGCATTTTTCCCCTATTTTCCCACTTGTGCCATTTTTACCTGTGCCATTATTACTGTGCACCCTTTTGTTCAGAAGTGTCAATACAGGTGAAAAATACAAATAAAAGAAAAGACGATTGAATATAAAAATAATGATCAAACGAAAAAAAAAAAAAAAAAAAGTAAGTAGAAGTAACAGTGTAACCCGGATATAAGAGAGTTGTCGGGATCGGAGAAGAAGTCTCTTATATCCGGGTTTGGTCTATTTTATATAACACAGGCTCTAATTTGGGACCAGAGAAAATCTCTCTTATATCCGGGTTACACTGTAATAGATTCTCACCTGTGCTTCAAACATTTGTCTGTAAACTTTTCCACTGGGAACGATTCTAATTTTTTCGACTTCAGACATTTTGGTTTATTTTCTAAAATGTCTTAATTCCCTTTTAATAAAATGTTATCTTAGAAGTCTGGATAAAAACTTTAACTCTTCGGAAACTTTCGATATATCAACATTTTAAAATTCCAATTGCTTTCTTGAAAGGAAATAGAAGTCCCGTTGAAACATAAATGCTGTGTTCTTCATTCCAAGTTTGTTTTGAAATTTCTGTTATTTTTTTTTTTACAAAAAAAAAAAGTTTCTTTTTTTAAGTCGTTTTTCACTTCGCTTTTTAATAAGTTAAAAATTACATTCTATTATTTAAAAAAAAAATCCTTTCTTCCCGTTAGTCGTTTTCGTTGAGAAGCAAAGACTTGTTTGTGTTAAAATTAAAAACGAAAAAAAAAGTTGTCTCTTCTTCGTCCGAGAACAAACGAGATTTGTAACCATGGCAACGAGAAAAGAACGAGAACCCGCGAGATCAAGTTGCCAAATGGCGGCGAGCATCAAGGATCTCGTTGATTTTTTTCCGGAGGCCGATGATAAACCAAAGCTACTACATTTACTAAAAGGTTCCATATCAAAATGTCCCCGAAAACAGTTACAAGAAGACTTAAAAAGTGTAAATCTTCAAAAGTTCTTTGCAACATTCCCTACACTTGACGAGTAAGTAGCACTTGATCGACTCATAAGGAAATCTTTATTAACAAGAGACTGCTACACAGTTGGACGAATTTTTATATTTTAATGACTTTTTAAAAATATTTTATTAAGATTCATTTTTATTGTTAGCAGTTTTATTTGTAGAAAAGCAATTGTTGTCTAGATCGTATTTTGGCGATAATTAGAGAGGAAAAAACTGAAAAAAATCACAATAACAATAATTCAAATTGCTTTATTTTTATTTAGTTTTGTGAAGAAATTGTTAAATAAATATTCCTTTTTTTTTGTTTTTATTTGATAAATAATAAAATAAAGAACTCTCAACTCTGCCTTTCTCTCTTAACAACTTGGTGTTGAAATATTATTGCACAAAAACTACTTTTATGTACAAACAAGTTTCAAACCTGCTTCGGCTTATGTTTCCATATTTCGAAGGTCCATTCTGCAACTACATTGTCCAATTGTTCATTTCCATATTCTTTTATATTTTCTGGCTTTTTCAATGTTAAATATAATTCTCACAGAGTTGTCAATTCGCTATAATAATTTAATCTCCTAATATTTAATAACTTGGACAAGGTTTTACAGTCTGAGTTTCATTTAACCACGTGGCCTTATTTTTTAAAATAATGTTTTTTGTTTTGTTTTTATATCGTATGGGTCACTTTTGTCATCAGCTGTCAATGCAGTTTCGTGTTTTTGGTCGAAGACAAGGCGACATCTCCTCTTTAGAATCGTTTTGCTTAAATTTTGGTGTGGTTATATAATTTGTTTATGTGTTATCAAAAATAGCAGCCTATTTTTTATACCCTTCAAAAACTTTTACATGTTTTTAATTTTTTTTTTTTATATATATATTTCGCAAATATTACGATGTAGTGATTGAGAAACACTGATCACCCATTTAATGTCCAGGAGAATCGTATGATGGCACGTAACCACTTCCCTGGCGTAGACGTGTATGTGCGTTTTTACCGAAAGTGTCTTTTTTTTTATAAACGGACAAATACACGTCTAAAACTAAAACATAATATTAAAAAAAAAACTATCTACAGACGTGTTTATCAGTTTACGACGATCTTGTTTTTTTTTGTTTTTTTTTTAATGCCCTTCTGAGCTTGAAACGAGTCCAATTGTCAATTCATACGTCTGGTAGATGTGTTAGCCACCGCTCGGGTACTTCAAGGTACCTCAGTTTCTTAGTTACTATATTAAAAACAAAAAAGAAATTCTTCTGAAAATGAAACGTTTTTCTCAAAATAATTGGCGGGGAAGGGGTTATGATGGCAATTCAACAAGTCCTTATTAGTCCTTTTTTTGGTGGGGGGTTTAAAGTAAACTGAAGAAATAATATAACTTGGTGTTTAAATCGTAGCACAAAATTTGACAGTACTTAAATTCTCTAAAGCAGTGATTCTCAACTAACGTGCCGCGGCACGCTAGTGCGCCGCGGCCGCGCGATCATCTAAGTCTTAAGTGTGCCGCGAAATATTGAAGAAATCATGAAAAAACACCAGGCACAGGTTTCTCATTAAATAAACTAGCTGCATAAATAGTTGAATTGAATAGAAACATTCAAATAAAGTATGTTCATTTGTGTGTGAAGTTTTAAAAAAAATCTATGGATTTTATTATATTTCATAGCATTTTAAATGTATTGTATACCTTTTTAAAAATTTTGCTAAGTGTGCCATGATATTTTCATTTTCTCCTATCTGTGCTGTTGCTTAAAAAGGTTGAGAAACACTGCTCTACTCCATTTGGGGTTGTGAAAATTAAATTCAAACACTTGAATTTCACAAATGCACAATATCTAACATGATGCGCCATGCAACAAAATGTATATGTGGCACCACTGTAACTAGTTTAGTGACAATGTATGTGTTTTCAGTGTAATTGGTTAATACCTGGGGGTGATGAAAAATGGGGTCATGAATGTAAAAGGTTTAAGAAGTGCTGCTCTAAAGAACAGACAATGCTATATCCAAAATTTACCTTTGTGAATTGAATAACGGGTTTATTTTGAAATTCCATGAAGGCTATCCAAAAAGACAGACACCAGAAGGGAACCAAAGGCCACAATAACCAAAAGAAAGTGTAGGGTATTATTAGTCCAAATGTAAAAAAGAATTTCTCAAGTTAAATATACAAATTTTACCCAGGGATTTTATTCCCATTATGTATGCTCTGTTTTATTGGGAAAAGTGTAATGAACTTACCTTCACGGCTACTGTTAGAGGAGGGAGGATGAGAAGAAAAGAAAAAAATAAAACACCTGCCTACCTTGTGATTGTTTTTATTCTACTGATCATGCAAATTTGGGGCATCATCAGAAGGGCACATTTTGCTAGATTATTAAAAGCAGCCTTTTCTTGTACTTTTTCCATTGCCTTTTCTTGTACTTTTTCCACTGCCTATACAGTGGTTTTTCTAACTGGGAAAATTTACCAAACCTTAGATAGGAAATCCTACCCTAGGTCACCATTGATAATCTGTTGCAATTGTGAACCTTTAAGATAGTGTAATTTCTTTCTCCCTCTGTCGATTGCTGTTGTTGGGCTGAGATAATAAATTGTTGCTTCTTGCGTTTGTTACTCCTTTATCTACTAAGGTCTTCTTAGTCCTTTACCCTCTGTTAGCATTCCCCACTGAGAAATTTTGCTAAAGTTTGAACAAAATGGTTGCATTTTTAATTTCATTTAGGATAGTTGTTTTCTTTTTTTTTTTTTTTTTTTACACTATTGCTTACTCAATACATAAGTCACTTGAGGTCAGGGGTTACGAAATGAGATTGTTTTATGGACGTAAGAGAAAGGAGTAAGAAGTGCAAATATTATGATAATATAAACTAGATAATGTTTGACTCTGGATTTGAAAAGTTAAGATTGTAGTGACTGAGGAAGCATCCTCTCTGGAGTCTGCTACACAAAGCAGCAGGAAGCTGTCCAAATGGAATTTCTACTTGCCTATTGAATATGTAGGAAATAACTTGCCTCCATGTACATGATGTTGCAGGTCCTAGCTGTAAATATCTGAAATGGTGGATCTAAGAACTGTAACTCATTAGAACATTTGCCGTGGAAATAGTGATACTGTAGCCAGAGGCTTGTGATGTTTTGCCGGGGGGGTTGTTATAGAGTGGAAAATAATTCATCACCCACAAGGTGGTGTAAATACTTTTGAACTCTATCAAGGCTGGAATGTAAGGATTGGGCAGCTCCATTCAGTTTCTCGTCTAAATCTGATTCTTGTAGAGATTGAACATAGCAGGAGGACTCTGGTTCTTTTTGGCATGGTACAAGGAGTCATGAATAGCAGAGTAATGGATAGCAGCTCAGATTGAGGAATCTGAGAGCCAAGTTTGAATTCCAGTCAAATCCATTACATTTACTTAAGTACTAATACCCTTGGGAAAGGTATGAATCTTTCTCTTCTCCTCCCCAGCTATGGGTAAATAGCAAGACAGACAGGGTTCTATAGGTGTTGGATGGCAACTGGTCTACCGCAGAAAGAAATGGCAAACTACTGTGGGGAAAAAATCTGCCTCATCAGTCATGTATTGAAAGATACATGATCGCCTAAGTGTGTATCATGCATGGCACATAACTGACTGATAAGGAGTCAGCTATTTATCCAGTATCTCTAGCGATGGATTGTATATAGGTTTTCCTCTTGAGGTATGGGGTGAATTTTAGTCCCAATAGACAACCAAGGGACCTCTGAGTGTAATGACAATTTGTTGTTATTTTACTTTAAGCACTGTTTTATTACCATCAGCACTTCCTGTGTGCAATATACATATATATATATATATATATATATATATATATATATATATATATATATATATATATATAGCTGTGTTTTTAATGTCATTACTTGACTTTTTTTAATGTGTTCTGGACTCCAGTAGGGGTGACAGGTTTTTCTCGAAGCTCCCAAGATGAACAGATTTTAACTACAACTGAAATATTACCTAAAAGTGATAAAATAATTTAACATAATTTGCAATTCTTTTATTTCATATATTCTGATTATTATATTTGTTTGAAGTTACATATGTATTGTTTATTATTATTACTTTCAACTTTTTCCATAGTCACAGAGTTTTTCTATATTAGTATTTATTTGTTTTTGTACAATTAATCTGATGATCATTTATCTTATTTTTACTTTTTGTTTTTGCTGAGGTTATATTTATCAACTTTGCGTTTTCTACTCTTGTTTATTTTATTTTATTTTTTAAATCATATATAACTTCCACACTGTTGCATTTATATATAACAAGAATGACCAAATATGATAGATGACAGAACAAACATTTTCGCATGTGATTATTAGCATAAATGCATGTTCTATGCTGAATCTATCATGTTTGGTCATTCTTGTTAATTATATATATAGAATGAAAATCAATAATATTAATAATAAATTATGTAACTGTAGAAATCCCATAAATTGTCCATTCCAAAATAAATGTTTTATGGGATCTATAGTTTACCAATGTATTATTTCATCTATTGAAAATCCAGGTATTAAAAAATTTTATATTAGTAGTACAAAAAATACTTTTAAATTGATATGGTACCAACATCTATCTTCCTTCAACAACAATGGGTATTGTAACCAAACCTCCCTCTCTAAATATTTTTGCTATTTAAAAGAAACAAATAAAACCCCAACAGTAAAATGAAAATTAAAAAAAAAGTGAATTAGTAAGTCATTAAATGACCCATGTCCTATATGCCTATAATGAAAGCTATATATTATTAAGTGTCTTTGGATTTATCAAATAAGACAACACCCATAAAACTTTTTGAAATCTTATTCCACCCTCCTACTTAAACTCTTCATTATAATACCACTTTGCTTTCAAAAGTAAATCATTTTTTCTGAAGTTATTGAATATCACTTGAAAATGGAACAATAGAAATGTGCGTGTTGCGATGAAAAAATATTTTTAAATAATAATAATATTATGCTCTGCTTTGTATTGAGCACTTTTAAAAAAAATAAATGCTAAAGAAATGTGGATTATTAATCTGACTGTTCTTTCTCTTTATTTATCGTCTGTTAATATTGGAATCTTTCTCATTGATTATCATTTCAGAGAGGAGATGAAGTTATGCTGTGAGGTCATTGATTCTTTATTTGTGTCTTTGGATCCCGAGGTTGTGGTTGGAAGTTATTCCAATGAATTAAGACAAGGATTGGGAGTAGACAATGCTTCAGTTCAATTGCTATGCTTAGCAGAGGTAAAAAGATTTACTTATCACCCCTCCCTTTTTTTTTTTTACTCTCTTCATCTTGAGAATGAGTGTAAACTGCACTTAACCCACAAACTGTAGACAACAGGAATTCTCATCTATGCCTAAACAACAAATGCTGGTAGCTTCTACAATCAATGATTAAGCTTTGTAGAGTATGTACAACACCCCTACCACCACATACACACTCCCACTTTTGTTATTATCTCCCCACAAACTGATAATGGCATGGCGAGACTGTTAGACAAAGCGTTTCTACTGTCTACTGACTGCTGTGGAATTAGTTGCATTTTATTGCAACTAAATGAAAAATGGTCAAAGTAAAAATAATGGTTTAGAATGTTTCAACCAATAAAGAGATTATACAGGGTGTGGCAGAAATGCCTCCCACATAATGGTAAGACAGCTAGATGAAGACATCATTGCCAATAATCTCTTACCATTATGTGGAAAGTATTTTGCATATATAACAGCTACTAAGACTACCAATGTAAGAAAAACTTGAAAATAATAATAAACAGAAATGAAAATATATCATGGATAATGACCATGAACTGGAATGACTGGTTAAATTTGGGCTTTTATTAAGCCACCAAATTCTTGTAGCTTAGCAAGGTAATCAGGTGTTTACCAGGATTCGTGAGGCAAGATAGATGCTTGGCAGAGCGTAAACATATCCTCACTCTGCTTTCCACTGTTTAATGCCTGTCTTACATCCTCATTCTCATTCATGTTGGCACACACCAAAAACCTGGAATGGCCTGCTGCAAATGAAAATAATGGAGCAGTGTGAAATAGGACGCTAACCTCCCCCCCCCTTTTTTTTTTCAATATATATATTGAAAAAATAAATTGGAAGTTGATGTCTGCAGTAAATGTTTATGAGACAATAATATGAGAAACTTGAAAGTGTGTTATTGAGAAATTCTTCCCATCTGGGAACAAGCGACAACAAATCCAATATGAAGGTTAACAATGTAAACAAAAACAGTGAAGGAAACAAACAACAATTGACAAAATGCTCAGTATTTATAGGAATAAGAGAAACTTTATTTACAATATAAACCGATGTCAACATGTTAAATAATAGTTTCAGACAAATATTTTTTAGTGGCAGTGTATTTTGGCTCAGACTTTCAGAGGCTGACCTTTTAAGGTCAGATACAGAAAACCAGAGAAAGTTGTTTGTGATTGGTTAAAAATAGCATGGGAATGTTAGAGAGATAGAAAGGGATTTCAGGGAGTTAAGTTTCTACATGTCATAAACAGTAGACGTTTGTTTCTCAGGGAACTTGCTCCGCAGTAGGGCTGATAGAGCAACTCCATTGGCTAGTTAAAAATGTACATGTTGATATGTTTAATAAAATAGATAATTTTAAAATCCCTTTCGTTGAAGTTCTCTTTCATCTCTGAACTCCAAAAGCATTTAGACACCCGGCTGGGAGAAGACGAGCAAGAGAAGATACAATGTTATGGAATCAACCCCATCAACCAAAAAAACCTCCTCAGAACAAAGGGGTCATATAACAGACATAAATGAATAGTACTTGTATTGCACTAATAGTAGGTTTAAGTGCTATTGGATTATTCGCAGCAATTTAACATCAAACATGTAAATAAAATGATTTTTTGTACTTGCTAGTCAAATGAAAAGGATATTTCAGCTCTTTTCATCAGAGCTGATGTTTTATTTTAAAAATAAATGTTTCATATGACCACTAAGGGGTCTTAATAATGAGTTTTAAATTTAACACATTAAAAATTTGGCTTACTCTGCTGGATATTTAAAAACGAATAATTTTGGTTCAGACAAGAAGTTGCCTTGAAGAGATCTTTCACACTGTTCTGTTCTGTGGTTGTCAGTAGTCATGGAGACATTGATAACTCCTCTTGTGCTTTGACAAACTTTCTTGAGTTGAGGGAGGAAGGGATGATGACTTTTCTCTCCTTTCTGGCTAAAAGAGCAGACCAAAGCTCCTGGCTGCTGCCAAAAACAATGCCACAAAAGGTGTGAACTCTCTCTTTTATGAGCATCTATGAGGCATGGATAAATTCAAACGAATCATTTTGCATACATACAAGAAGACTCTTTATGGCTAAAATAACCTGATCAGTTACCTTTTCTTTCCTTTTCATGCTAGTATACGAAAAGTCATCACTAAAGCAGATGATAAACATTTATAAAAAAATATCATTAAGGTAGCAGACAACACATCTGCTAATATTTTGATACTTGGATATATTTATTTTTAAATTTTAAAATAATATACTGTGTATCTACAAAATAAGTATACATACAAAAAAAAACAAAGACAAAATGTGTTTTTTTTTATTATTATTTTAATTTCCAACATATATTTAGGAAAATGAAACTCCTCATCTCTCTGGTTTGACAGGGTCAGTTTCTGTCATGATGAACTAAGAGATCAACTCTCCCTCCTACCAACATTCTGCCCTCTTCAACATCACAAGGCATGGCTGTCAACACAAACAGGTGACATTGCAACTAACCGAGCAACAAATGAAGCGAATCTAGTACTGCGCTTAAATTCATAAAGTTTAGATACCAAAGAGTTCATCTGGACAATTACCATGAAAGTATTTATAGAAAAGGCAGAGGGAAGCTACGTTAAGGCATTGGGAAAGGAACTTATGTCGAGATGCCAGGTCAGAACCAATTACATTGCAGATTCTTTTTATCAAAATCTCTAAATATATAACAGGAGCACCAGACCAGATGTGGCAGCAGTATTCAAAGCAAAGACGAATGGTGGACTTATAAATATGTAAGATAGATTCTGGCAAGAACAATTGTTTAGCACAACACAGACAACCGACTTTCCTAACAGCAGACCTAGCAATTAATTTGCTGTAATCTTTCTACTTCATGTCAGCAGTCTCATGGAGGTTAGCATCAGCCATGCCAATGAAAGGTAAAAAACAGTTCTCTCAAATGATTAAGAGAGAGCAGTTTCGTTTTGGAGGCGTTAAAATTAACGAGCCATTTCTTGCCCCAGTTAACAACAGAAAGTAGATTGTTTCTGAGATCAGTCGCCAATTTGACCTTATTGAACTGCTCAAACTTAACTATTAAGACAGAAATAAATGGTTGCATGATTGAATGCATGATCGCTGGGGAATACCAGGTGCTGTAAGTTAAGCAACATGCCTAGCAAGCCAGTGATGTAAATAATGTCATGACCTATGATAACAGGAGACGTTGCTCTATGGACTGACAGGTTGTAAGCCTTACCTGGAGTTTGGTAAATGACCAAAGATATCAGGTTGTAAGTTTCTCTAATAGTAAGCATTGAGACATGGATGGTGTGTAATGGAGAGCAACTTGGACTGAGAAATTAGAGAGCCAATTTTTAAATCTAGTTGAATTCATTTCATTTATTTCCATACAAATGCTCTTGGGAAAGATATGAAACCATCTCTTTTCTTCCCCTAGCTATGGGTTAAATAGCAAGGCAGACTGGGCTCTCTAGCCTATTATTGGCAATCAGTTTAGGAAAAGAGCAACTATGAATTCAAAACCATACTTAATCATGATGCTGCAATAGAGATACCTTAAGCAAGTTCTCTAGAAGGTCTTGACCCAAAGTGTTTTGTCAAAATCAACTTGTTGAACATGCGTTATGCAAGGATCCATGTAATGGATTATGTAACTATTAAATTTTATTGCAATGAAAGAATGCTTAAGTTCTGCCATCTTACAGTACAAGATAGATGGTTATCTATTTTGTGTGTTTTGCTATTTACAAATTGACCTCATGGTTGCCAGTGCACTGTTCTGTTATTGATCTAAGTTTAAATAGAAGTTGTCAAATTATCCAAGTACTTTTGAAGGTAAATATTTCTCAGTTTTCATATGCCAATAATGACCCTTATTTTTGAATATCTGCTTTCTTTTTCTAGATAAAACGTCTACCCATTGACTGGTATAACACATTTGTAACTAAAGATGAGTCTGCAATCTCCAGTATGATTCACTTGATAACTTGCGAACCTCTTCAGGTCGCCCTCTCGTCTGTATCTGCTCTTTCAAGACTTGGTGAGTTGGAAATGCACTAAGTTTCTTCTATGTCTTTTCATTTACAAAAGCAAAATTTAATTTCAAGCAATTGGACTTTGATCTGAGCTTTGGGACAGAATTTACCATACCTTGTGTCATTTTCATCTTATACCCAATGAATGACTTTTTTTTTTTCTCAGACCCCCTGCCTCTTCATGATTATATTTCCTTTCATACCAACAGCATCTGATGGTTTTTTTCCTTCCAGATTAAGTATCTGTGAACCTTCTGTCTCTACAATATTCTTAACTGATTCTCATGTGAGGCAACCATATTTGAGCAATCTGGATGATAGCTTCTGCAGTGTATTTAGCTATGTTGAAAAATATGAAAGGTTACTTAAAAGGACTTGGCCTGACCAACTTAAAATCTGATCAAGTGCTGTACTCCCAACACTTCATAATTTACGTGTAGATACTATAGTGCCTTTCTTGGGTTGATTTGTACACTTGACAACCTTGTGAGTGAAATTTTTGACTTCATATACTGACACCATCTTGATAGTGCAAGTAGCCTAAACAAATAGCTTCCTTTCTTTTAACCAGTGTATAATACAATTGACATTTTTATATATATATATATAAATAAAAAGAAAGAACAGTAAGATATATAATCCAGTGTTCTTATAGATATTTTTATTTTTACAAAATAGTGCTCAATGTAAATTTACAGAGCATTAATATTATAAATTAATTGATTTAAAATGGTTTTTTAATTGTGTTCTAACCATGTTTCAAAAATGGAAACATGGTTAGAACTGTGTAGCGAAAAAAACCATATTTTAAATCAATTTATATATATATATATATATATATATACACACACACACTAATATCTGAAGTCAGCATGAGAGAAATACTGCTCAGTTAAGTGAAAAAACTTTTCCATATTAATTCTATTAATGCACTCTACCACAAAGCCTGCTTTCCTTAAATGCCTTTCTGAAAAATCAGCAATTTTGGTTTCAGAAACACTCTCAATCTAACAATACATACAAACATACACTTTACAAATTATGAGATCAGTAGATTCCCCTACCTTGTTTTCAACCTTATGGTATCCTTGGGTGATTTTTATCAATTGACCTCCCAACAATTTATTTTTCAAAAAACTAATGAATGCTATATTATTTTAAAAAAATAAACAAACGGATGATGCTGCTTGTAATAGAAAGGGAGGAGGAGGATGTAAAGAAGAAGACGGAGGAGGAGAAAAAAAAAAGGATATTATAAATATATCAGTGAGGGGTTAAATGAAATGTCATGAGCCGAAAAGGAATTTTTTTTTTGTATGTATGCAGTGGTTAATGATTTCTGATCTTTGGTTCAAAAGTTTCTCTGGATCTGGAAATGTTATTATTGCTAATTTTTCTTGCTGGCATAGGTTGCAAATGTTATTGTGGTTATTGTAAGGCCTTGCCTTTTAACCTTTTTATGTATATATATATATATATATATATATATATATATATATATATATATATATATATATATATATATATATATAAAATATTGCACTTGAGTGCTGGTCCTAATAAAATAGAGTTTTTGGTGTATAATAACAGAGCTAAAATTTATATTACCAATAAATGTACATTTTTTCCCTCACAGGTAGCATAACAGAATTTCATGCATGATGCAATTGTCAGGTTGAAAACTAGCCTTGCATAATTTAAATATTGATAGTTATGCTGTACTATGATGATAGTGGAGCAGTCCATTTATTTAGTAGGCTTGGATAATAAAATTGTATGCACACACAATTTAAATACATATATGCACATCACTAGTGAAGTGGGGTAGTTTTATATATATATATATATATATATATATGTGTATATATATATATATATGTCAAACTTTACTACTGCTCTTTACCAAAAAAAAAAAAAGGCACTTTCAGAAACTCATGTTTACTTAACTACAAAAGTGTATGTCCTCACAGATACAAAATAATTGGTATAAAAAACGACTTATCGGGTGAAAGTAATCTTATAAAGGGTGCGATGGGTAAATTGTCGCGATTTTATATTTTTAATTTTGTACAAGCGCATGGTTTGTTTTTTATTTTGTTGACTGCACAGAATAGTAAAGTCAGTTGGCCACCATCTGTGAGAAAAAGAGCACCAGAACACAATTCACTCTGCCAGAAATTTGGAAACTGCATGCTGTACTTCTTGGCATTCGTGCTGGAAGCTCCAATACAAATATTTCATCGTGTTTAGGAGTCAATCTGAGGACAGTGCAAAGGATTCAGAAAGAGTTGGATGAGACTAACAGTTATTATGAAGGTATAGCAGCTTGGAAAACTCTGATAAGAAAAGAACTCTCCCAAAATTGTGGGGGAGTGTGGCTGCTGGAAGAACCTGTGTTTGGTAATGAAACTCCGCATCATGCCACACAAGCAGAAGAACTGAGTCATGGCTGTTAGACAATTTCTGCAACCACATCACCACTTACATCTGTTGACCTAACTCCCCAGACTTCAACCTGCTTGATTATTATATGTGGGGTGCAATTGAGCAAAAGACCATCAAAACTCCTTGTAACAGCAAAGATGAACTGACGGCAAGGATTATGGCAACATTCACCAACTTAAACAAAGAAAACGTCCAGAAGAGATGCAGGAGATTACAAAGTCGTCTGGAGGCCGTGGTTGAAGCCAATGGTGATTTTATTGAATAAATTTACTCTTTAGTATTTCAAGATATTTTATGTGTAATTTTGGTTAATATATCTGTTAAAATGAAATGTTGGTGCTATTTTCATTTTTGTGTCATTTAGACGACAATTTATCTATCGCAACCTGTATTATTCTATAAGGAACTTAGTAGTATTAAACAAACTCTTATTAACAATAACTTCCATAAACATGTTGTCGCTGAACAAATAAAATTAGCCTTAATGAAATTTTAAAAATACTACAAATAAATGATGCAAATAAAAATAAACATACCATTAACTTGTTCTATTATCACATGATGCACCGTAATTATAAACAAGATGAAAAATTAATTAAAAACATAATTCACCAACGATCCTAACATCTAAGATTTATCATCACGTATAAAAAGTTTCAAATCTCTAATTAATCAGCAAGACCAGACCTCAAACCTCCCATGTAAAAAATAATGTTGTCTATGAATTTCATGCCTCCACTCCTACACACACACGGATTTTTTTTCTCTGAATGAAAATCCTTTATATTTATCTTTCTTTTTTTTTTTTTTTTTTTTTTCCTTTCTCTATTTTTCCTTGTAGGTGTGTGCCAAGGTGGTTCGTCTCTTCTGCTTAGCAAACATCTTGAAGAGATAAAGGTGTCCATGACCAAAAGTGATGTAGTTAGGTTTCGATTTTATGAGGTGAGGGTGTTATGCTTATTTCATAGAAAGATAAAATTGAATTTAAACAATGAAAAAAAAAAAAAACCCAGAAAAACTGTCCATCTTTGGTAATTAACGTTTAAAAAACAAAAAACACAAAGTATTTCCATCCACACATTTTTATTTTTCAAAATACACAGATTCTATACTTTCTTCCTTGGCAGAAGAGCCAACTCCCGCACAAGTAAACTTATTTTATTTTATTTTTTTATCAAGTAATATATCTGATGCCTTGTGCTATTCTCTATCTTTACAAGAGCCAGGCTCCGTGCCTAAAATGGAGTGCTGTTGATGTATATGGCAACAGTACTCCATTTTAGGCCAGGAGCCACACAGTCTTTACTTTCCAGTCTCGATAGGGTCCAAAAGCGTCTACGCGGCCTTGTGGGTAATGAATTATTTTCCACCCTTCAATCCCTTTCCTTCTGCTACTCTATCGCTGTTTAAATGGAAATTGTTCAGACAAACTGCATTTTGTAGTTCCACCAGTTCTAGCCTTCAAGGGTAAGACCTGCCATGTCATCCCACGCACATTGTAGTGAACCACCTTTGCTTCCCTTCATATTCCATTGGTGAGATTTAAGTTCCACTTGAGCAGCTTCTTCACATGAACTGTTGCTTTGTGGAACCGACTCTCAAGAGGATGCTTCCTCGATCATTAAGGTCTGTTCAAGTCTAGGGTTAATTATCTTCTCCACATGTCCACATAAACTGTGCCTTTTACTCTATAACCATCTACCTCGAGTGGCTCTTGGGCCTTATACAGGGTGAATGATATTGTAAATATATATATATATATATATATATATATAAAATCCATGTAAGCAATAACAAACTATCATCACTGTCTTGTCCGTATATTGCTTAATATATTGTACAGTAATTGACATCTTTGATAACGGCTTATGTAAGCTGAAAGCTTAGATTGGATTAAAAAATATGGATCAATATTGTGATTTTCTTTCTTCGTTTAATGATAATGTTATTAAGCTTATCAGACGTTATGAAAAGAATTTACATAAAATAAATAGACAACACTTGTCTATATTATTTAATGAAACATGTATGAATATATATATATATATATATATACACACACTTTTTCTTTACAATTGGAATTAAGATACCTTTAGTTAATGACCATTTTCACCTACAAATTTTAATTTTATCCTACTAATATAAACAGTTTGAAAAATCCTGCAAATTTTAAAATTAAAATTCGCAGGTGAGAATGGTCATTAATTAAAGGTATCTTAATTCCAATTGTAAAAGAAATTTGCTCTGTTTAATGAAAATAAACATTGAGCACACTTGTGAGTCAGTTCTAACATATTTCAAATTCTATGTTGTGTTAATAGGCCTCTCCTGATATTACACACATTTTAGAATTCTTTATTTCACAGTATTTGCATCGTGTAAGCGTTTTCAAGTTATCTCCCTTGGGGTTTTTTTTTTATTACGAATACAATAGTCTCCCTTTATCTGCCTGAAACCGTGGTTAATACTAAATTCTGTTGTTTTTTTTTTTTTTTTACTTAATATACATTATGAACTATGATAAAAACTTAATTTGTAAATAGACATTGTAAGAGATTAACATGTGATAATGAGTTATATGGTATTAAATCCTCAAGGGAGAGTGATTAAAAGCTTTTCATTTGAAATACCTACAATAGAATGCACAATGGGAAGGCAAATTTGTGTGAAATTGTTATTTGTGGATATAGTAAAGGATAAGATTAAAAAAATTAGAAAATTAATTACAATGAATTGAATTATCACACGGAAATTGTTGGTGTTTGAACTTAATGTTTTTAACTAGTGAGCAAAACAAAGTAGCTACTGTTTAACCCCAATCTTCACTAGAAAAATAAAGAGCTCACCCAGTAAAGGTAGTTTCTTGGCCAACATTATTTTTATTAAACATCCATAGTTGGAATGATTGTCATTGTAAACTTCATGATCCTTTTGTTAGTTGTGTAGCATGTCAGGGCTACATGCATTTTTGAATTCAGAGATATCGTTTTCCTCTTCTGGGTCTCAACCAAAGCTGAAGAGCTCACTATGCCCTTCTATCACACCCAACATTGTACGTTTGTTTATTTATTTTTAAAAAAATAATATAGTTTTCAATAGTTTTTTTAAAAGCAAAGCTTTAGGAGGTCAACTGATAAAAATCACCTTAGGATACTGTAAGGTTGAAACCAAGATGGTGGATTCAACTGATCTCCTAATTTTTAATGTTAAAAGCTCTACATGTTATTTTTATTTTGTTATTTTATTTTTATCACACATGTATTGAGAACTTTTTAATACCACTATTTTCTGATCTGACTCAACTCGAACCATTAACTTTTTATGTATATTTCTTCACCATTTGCTCACCTCAATTTTCAGGTGTTAAGACTGACTTACATGATTTAAATTTTCTTAAATATATCTGGTTATCATAATTACTGTATTTTAGCAAACTCAACTTAATTAGTTTATATCTAATTATATGTATTCCTTTGTTATATATTGTGTGTGTGTGTGTGCATATATATAAATGTGTATACACATTTTTTTTAATATTTAGATGTGACTATTTATATTTTATCTTTACATTTATAACTTATAAGTAAATAAGTTGTGTATCTGTGATTTTTTTTTTTTTTTCTAGTTGTTTACTTATGTTTATTTTAAATACAAAATTTAAAAAAAAAAAAGTAAACAACAATCACCGTATAAGATATGGGCTTCCTCATCATTTTGATAATCTGGTATATTTAATAAAATTTTAATTATGTAATAGGCAGTTTCAATTCGGCACCTGAAGATTGAATTGCATATGAAACTCAGTCATGCTACCGATGAGGAAAAATATGTATATTTATAATATATAGTTTATAGCTCTGTTATATTGCATTGAGCACTATTTTATTAACACCAGCACCCAATGTGCTTATATATATATATATATATATATATATATATATATATATATATATATTAAATATAATAGACAATGAATGTCTATTATGTTTGATCATGAGCTGTTCTAAGCTTTGTATAGTGGCTTTAGTTTTGGGAGAAAATAAAGACAAAAACTGTCCAATATTTGGCTATTTTTTTTTTTATTATGCTGTTCCTCAATCTAAGCTTTCAGCTTGCATGAACCATCACAAGAGTGGTTATATGGACATTATGACAGTGATGTTCACCATCAAAGATGACATCCTGTCATGTTTACATCAAGTTTGCTATGCAACGATAACACTCTTGGAATAGCAGATGCAGGTTGTAAATTTGTAATGCAGTTATATAACCTTGAACAGCATAATAAAAAAAATAAAAAAAATTACAATGAATTTCTATAACAAATTAGACCCCCTATTATAAAATTTGATTTAAAAATTTTCTTATATTGGTGATCGGGAGTGTTTAATCTCTAGTAATATGGTGATTTTTCTAAGTGTAGCTTAGATGTGACACAAGGACTAAAGCATGGGGCACCCAGTGAAGATCGTAATTGAGCTGGCAAGACAAGCTTGCTATTTCTAAGCTTAGCTTAGATGTGGCACAAAGCAAAAAATATAGGGCACCCAGTGAAGATCGAACTCACTATTCAGTCATAATTGATCTAGCTAGATAAGCTTGTTAACCTTTACATATTAAACTAGCCAACATCCCTATCAATATGAACAAGCATTTTTAAAAATGACTATTTCTACATGCAGTGTTTGTTTTAAAATTTTGCTTGTAACTGACACCACAAATAAGGGATAGGGAACCAATGTTAATGAGTGTATACTGTATCTTTTTATTTTATTTATTTTTTTTCAATGCATTAAAAAAAAATCTATCTAAATGCCTCACTTCTGTATATATTCCTCTAATGAATATTAAATCCATAATTGTTCTTTTCAGTTATTAACGAACATAGCATCATCAAATTCTGTCAGTTTACCTGTTGTGGTTGACACTGGTTTGTTGCATCAACTCTTGACTGAACTATTTGAGGAGAGCCAACCGGATATTCTGGCACAGATGAATTGTATAGAACTTCTCACTAATCTGGCAATGACCAATCATGGCTTTACTTGGCTTACTGAAGAGGGTGTCTTGGATAAGCTGGAGATTTTATTAAGCAAAATCAATTCAGAATCTATACTTGCCTTACTGCTCCCTGGTATGTATTGGAACTTTTTATTTTTTTATTTTTTTTATTGTTGAATGTGATGTTAACAGATTTGAACTAGGAAGCCGTGAATTCATCTTTATTTGAAAGCAATTTCTAAAGAAATAATGGAATTTTTCTTTATTGATCTGACATATTTTTATCATTTCAAATGTTGTTTTTAGTGGATACACGTATTTGAGTCGATTCTCCGTTTATTTTAAACAGTGTTTTATTTTGTCTACCAGCTTGATTATTTGAGTGAAAAATGCTTCCTCTGACAGGATTCAAACTCATGTCTGGTCAAATATGGTTATTCATGAAAAATAATGTTAAAAGCGATAAAAATGTCGGATTAATAAATAAAAATTCATTATTTCTTTAGAAATTGCTTTGTTTACATTTCAGATACAAAACTTAGCAATTATGAACTTTCATAAATCTGAACAAGTAAGATGTGCTTAAAGGCAAAAATAGAGCCTCTCTTGATCACAATGCTCTTTGTAGCCTAGTTGGTTAAAGCACATTGGATGTAATGATGGTTTTTCATGAAAAGGTTGACAGAGATTTGAATTCTGCTGGAAGGCACATTTTCCTTATTAAGAATTCTCAAATTTTCAGGCCGTTAGGCGAAGTAAAATGTTGTTTAAAATAGAGCATCTACTCAAATATGGTTATCCTCTAAAAATAACATTAAAATGTCAGATTATTAAATAGAAATCCATTATTTCTTTAGAAATTGCTTTGTTTCCGTTTCGGATATGAAACTGAGCAGTTGTTTACGTTCAGGTATCTAAATGAAAGACATGTATATAACCATAATTTCTCTTTTAAAGGAGGATGCAGGTTTAAGTACTGCTGGAGAGCACATTTTTCTTTTTAATTAGATTTCTCTAATATTCAGGCTAGTTGACAAAATACTGTTTAAAATAAACAGTGTCTATTCAAATATGCTTATCCACTAAAAATAACATTTAAAGTGATAAAAATATCTGTAAGTCCAGTGCTAATAATTGACATTATTTTCACTCTGACTATTATCCTCATCTTTTGTTATCACAATGAGAATTTGTGCACTCCAACCTTCAGTTGTCATTGTAATCAGGGAATTTCAAGATGAATTTAATCTATAGTTTCATTATGTTTAGAGATATCTTGTCTTAGACTTGTTTAACCTGCCCAGTCTAGGGACTGAACTCACTGTTGCTATCACCAAATTCATGAACCAATGCCTTAATCCACTAGGCTATAGCCCTGTGGGATAATCCTGAGTCTAGAACTTGGAAACTTAAACATATTCTGCTAGCTGCTGACACTATTGCTGCTGCTGCTTGACTGCATCCACCAGGGCTTGTCTTTTCTTGCTGTTGAAGCCTTGCTGTCATTCCTTTATTTGTTAACCTCTTTCATGTTGTATTTATTTCTATACTAGGTTTACTAAGGAGACCCTCATAGCTTAGCAAATGCGCTGATACTTTCAGACATCCAGCTCTATTGTGTTTTGCCTAGTATTTATTTTTAGTACCAACCACGGGGTTGGTGACAACAATTTCCTCTCCATACATGATTAAATTGTTCTACCAAGCTGGTGCATCAAAACAAATTAATTTGCTTTAAACTGTTGATAACCTCCTTTCTGTTTTTTTTCTTCTTTTCCATAAGAAAGAAATTTACTTAGATTTATCCCTTAAAGTTTTCCAAGTCTCTACTCAAAAATTAATTTTTCATGATTTATTTCCCTTGAAAAATAAACTTTACACTTGACCCACTTTCTCACCCTGATTTTCTGCAGTTCTTTCTTTGAAAGCAATTTCTAAAGAAATAATGGAATTTTTGTTTATTATTCTGACATATTTTTATCACTTCAAATGTTGTTTTTAGTGGATACACTTATTTGAGTCGATTCTCCATTTATTTTAAACAGGGTTTTATTTCGTCTACCAGCCTGATTATTTGAATGAGCTTACTTAAGAAAAATGCTTCCTTTTTCAGCAAAAATTGATTATTCAATTGATATGCTATTAAAAAATATCAGATCTTCAACATCCATATCAATTGAGATGTCATCCATATGAATGGCAGTTACATAAAAAAAAAATGCCTCAACTTGATCATCCAACTTTAAAGAAATCTATCTAGTCTCATAAGAGCATTAACCTTAACAAGAATTATCAGAATGAGAGGTGACTGAATTGTTTGTGTGTGATTGGCTCCCTGTACTGCCCCAGTAAGTACCCGACTCCTTATGCTATCCTCTACCCTTACAAGGACCAGATCCGGCTTAAAATGGAGTACTGTTGTCATATTTGGGAGAGAATTGCCCAGTCCTCACTTTCCAGTCTTGATAGAATCCAAAAGCATTTCAGAGTCCTTGTGGGTGACAAATTAATTTTCACCTTCCAACCTCTCTCTCTCTCACAGGTGGGATGTGGCAAGCCTCTCACTGCTCTATAGCCGTTTCTGTGGAAAGTGCCCAGGTGAACTGCATTCCTTGGTTTTGCCAATTCTAACCTTTATGGCCAGAATCTGTCGTGCCACTCACATTGTAGCAAACCACCCACATTCCCTTTGTATTCCATTGGTGAGAAGTAAGGTCCACTTAAGCAGCCTCTTCCCATGAACCACTTCTCTGTCGCACAGACTCCTAAGAGGATGCCCCCCCCCATGATCACGACAGTTTTAACCTGTTCAAGATTAGGCTTAACTGTTATCTTCCCCCTCTTATCAGCATTAACTACCTCTTACTGTAACCCTCTACCTTGAGTGACCCCCAAGACCTTGTACAGTGTGAATCTCACTAAAAAAAAAGAAAATGTACATGGTGTGCTGGATAAATTGTCATCTAAATTATGCAAAAATGAAAATAACACTACCATCTCATTTTAACAAATATATTTACCAAAATTACACAAAAATATCTTGAAATAGTAAAGAATAAATTTATTTAATAAAATTGCCATTGGCTTCAACCACGGCCTCCAGATGACTTTGGAATCTCTTGCAACTCTTCTGGATGGTTTCCTTGTTTAAGTTGGTGAATGCTGCCATAATCCTTGCCTTCAGTTCATCTTTGGTGTTACAAGGAGTTTTGTTGGCTTCACGATTAACTGTGCCCCACACATAATTAAGGGAGTTGCAGTCGGGGGAGTTAAGTGGCCAGATGTAAGGGGTGATGTGGTTGCAGAAATTGTCTGACAGCCATGACTGGGTTCTCCTGCTTGTGTGCCATGGTGCAGAATCTTGTTGTCAGACTCTGAAATGTTCATACTGGAGCTTCTGGCATGAATGCCAAGCAGTACAGCATGCCATTTCCAAATTTCTGGTGGAGTGAATTGTGTCAGGGTGTTTTTTTTTTCTCACAGATTGTGCCCAACTGACCCTACTATACTATTCAGTTGACACAATCAAAAACAAAACAACACACAAATGGGAAATTTAAAAATATAAAATAGCAACAATTTACCCAGTATTTTTGATCTCCTGAGTCTCGTAGCCTACTGGGGTCATAGGGGCACCACACGTACGACAGCTGGTTTGAGTTTTGGTTGTTTTTTTTTTTTCCTAACCTGGTTACCTACCAAGGTTATAGGTCCCAGTCTGTCCTGCTATTTACTCATGGCTGGTGGAGAGAAGTATAAGTAGATGCCTGCCAGTGTAAGGGATAGTGACTGACTTTCAATGAGAAATTGGAGAGCAAATTCAAGTCTTTCTTACTCAGTTTTGTAACAGCACTAAGAAATTGATCCATGATTTTAAGAGGATTAAAATAAAAATAGATATGTCTAGAGTATTCAACCAAACATGCTTGAATGAAGATATGCTGCCTATATATAATATGGTGGTTGTTGTCTTGCAAAACAAGTATGACCATCACTGACATGTCCAGCCCCCTCCCCCCTTTCAACACTGCATCCATTGGTTGTGTGAATGGCAGTGGCTCCTAAAAGCAGCCATCGATCTGCATTTCTTTCACATATGTGGCATATCAAATCATCTCCAGGTGGTGGAAGGGGACTTTGATCATCGTCATATCCAATGTGCCTTTTCATATGCCTTGTCAGGCCCAACCTTGACTTGCACACCCTAGTGCAGGTCGGGCATTCAAAGCATGCCATTACAAAACTGTCATATACAATAGACTGTTTTTTTTTTTTTTTAAGAATGAAAAATGTTACGTTTTTTTTAATAAGGTGGTCGTGGGGACTTTCCAAGAAAAAATTTGACTAGAGCCCTATGCAGATATATTTTCAAAGAAAAGAGGGAGATGAAAGGAATTTCAACAAATATTACAATTTTATTTCAATCTTGCAACATGTATGTCTCTCGGAAATAAAATGTACATCATATGTATCCACACACATTACATTGTAATAATATCTTTCATTTTAAAACACCAATACTTAAATAGACTGGTCCATTCAAAAAGGAAAGACATGCATGTCAAAAAATCAGGGATCAATTTGATGTTCTATTTATATTGTAAACATGACCATCCCCCCCACTTTCTAAAGTAATAGAAAATGTTCGATTCTGACAAATTGCCTGATTAGAGGAAGTTCGTTTGAATGCTAGGCAACAAAAATCAGTTGTGAAAATATTTTTATCTATAAAGAAATTACTAATTAATATTCATGTTGGAAAGTAAAGGATCATTTTGTTTGACATTTACTATACATATTTTTTTTTTTTTTTTAATAGTTATTTTTATTCTATGCTGAAAAGTCTTTATATTTTTATAAAGTAATACAACGATCTCGTTTTTTCCACAACATATTCTAAGCTAATAATGTTGTAATGTTTGATTTCTTTTTTGAAAATATTCCACTGCAAGGTATCATTGGTAATACTAATAATTCTAGTCATCATAATCAATATTATTTGTTAATAAAAATATTTAACTTTAAGGCTTTTTGTTTATTTTTATCAATTTTTTAAAGATTTTACATTAATATTACTTTTTACAAATAAAAAAATGAAAGTTTTGCAAACTCTAAAAAATTTGCCACAGTGCTCTCATTTTTCTGGGGGCCACCAAGGTAATTTTTGTTTGCCCCTACAAACTCATCCATCCATCCATCCATCCATCCATCATATATATATATATATATATATATATATATATATAGGTAATAATCCAAGTGAATCCTATTAATGCAATATAAAGTATTAAATCTGATTCACACATAGAGCTCATTGTTTTAATTAAACAGAGCAACATATTTCATACAATAAGAATTAAGATTACATTAGGTTAATGATCATTTTCACCTTGTAAATTGAAATAAAATTTACACGGATTTTTCAAACCAGTCAATGGATGATAAATTATTGAAATAATAAAATTCTAAAAATAAAATTTCTAAAATAATTGTTCATTAATGTTTCTTTTAAACCTTCATAAATTTCTCTGTATTGAGCATATGATTCCTTTCAAACTTTTCTGCATGTTTTTCTTTGTTGCATTAAGTGTCATGTTTGGCTTCCAGTCATCTGTTGGCAATTCCTCAGTAGGGACCCCAATGCTGCTTCAACAAAATCAACTGACAACAGCCGATTTTCTTCAGAACTGAGTACAAAGTTGTAGGTTTCATGCCAAACTGCCTTCTCCTAGACAGAAAACAGAAACTTCAATGTGTTGATCCGGTTACAGACCTGGTTTATTATTGACCCATAACCCATAGATGAGGACCATTAACATCTGTGTCCACTTCTGGATCAGAGTGGACCCGTGAATAATGAAAACTAAGAAATGATTTGAGGCTCCTAAGTATGCCTTGTCATTGGATTCAATTTATAATCATGCTGAGGATACATGTACAAACTTCAGTGAGACTTTTCAGTAACTATCTTACTATTGAAGACGTTTGAATATTGAAATGATTTTAAGCTTAGAAAAGCTGTTAAGAAAACTTTAGGAAATAATCTGGAAGATCTTGTACTTTTACTTTTCTCCCAATTTTAACCGAATTTGAGGAAGACTGTAAAAAGAAAAGAAAATACCTGCAAAGTGAGGCTGCCAGGATACTGAACATTTAGAAATTAAAATGTTGAATTTATCCTGTATCTTTTTCTTTTCTGAAAACGTTTTGCTTTCTTTTCATATTCTTCAGGTCTTCTCGTCTTCTTTGGGTGTCTGGCCAAAAGCCGGCCTGAAGAAATTTGTGGCAAATATAAATTATTTATGTTAAATCTCTTCTCAAGTACCAATAGTTCGGATATGACGTTACGGGGAATTGCCTTGGAAACCTTGGCTCAAGTTGGCTCCACAGTAAATGGAAAATTGATCCTCAGTCAATTTTGTAAGTACCATTTTTTTTTCTCTTTCTTTTAAATGTTAAGCTTAAACTATAGATTTCAGTCTCTCTGCCAATGATCATTGCCTGAATGAAAGCAAGATACCGTACTGACCCAGGTTCAAATCAGGCATACATCTCAGCCATGTACACCACCTTGAGGCTGAAAACACTCCCTGATGTAGACTTTGTGGACCCCAATTAACTATAAAATGCATGATGATAAAATGCAAAGGATATACATACACACATGCTGTAAATACTGGTATGTACCAAACTTTGAGATACCATTAAAGAAAAAAGTGTCTGTCTCTTGGTTACTAAGCTTTGGGAGTGGAAATAGATCTTCTTAAACTCTTATAGATAGAACACACACACACACACACACACACAAAACTGCACAAAATATTTATTTACCAATATAAACTCCAAAGCAGTCACAAAATAAAATAAAAAGGAGTTAAAAAAAAAAAATTTATTGAAGTAATAAACTACCTAATTCGACATAAAATGACCTATAAAAGTTGATGAGCTGGTAAACAATATCTTTACGCCTGCCAAAGAAAAGAGATTCATCTATTAATACCTACCATCTGAAAATGCATCGATGTACATTGATGAGTTATAGGAAAAAAAACTGTAATTAATACTGGGTTTTAAAATTTTAATTTTTATCTATTTATATTATATTGATTTATTTTAATATATTTATTGTTTATATGTTGTTTGTATAGCGACAAATATTTAATTAAATGCTCCGTTTACAATAAACAGTATTAACAACATTTACTGGCCTGAATGTTCGAGAAATTTCATAGAAAATATGTGTCTTCTGAAATCTATGAAATCTCTTGGACATTCAGGCCAGTAAATGTTGTTAACACTGTTTATTATAAACGGAGCATTTACTTAAATATTTGTATCTATGAAAAAAATAACGTATAAACAATAAATATATTAAAATAATTGTTGGATTTAGTCCATTTAATAATATATGATGTCATTTGTTTACATTAAGATACACTTTGAGCAGATATGAGCATTTGAGAAAAATCATAGGAAATTTGTAGTTTAAAATCAGTAATTTGACATTGCTAACCAGACACTTCTTCTGTAGCTAAATGGTATAGCATGTCAGGCTATATGACGGGTTCATGTAGGATACAGGTTTCATTCCTGTCGGAGGACGCATATTTTCTATGAAATTTCTCGGACATTCAGGCTGGTAAATGTTGTTAATACTGTTTATTATAAACAGAGCATTTATTTAAATATTTGTATCTATAAAAAATAACATATAAACAGAAAATGTAATGTATAAACAATAAATATATTAAAATAATTGTCGGACTTAATCCATTTCATTATTTATTTAGATATGATTTATTTATAATTAATAGCAGATTTTTTAAATTTTTGTTATTACTTGACTTTAATGGGTTTAAATGCTACTTGAATTTAATCGGTTTAAATATCACCTTCATGTTGGAAACTAGAAATCATAAAGAGCATGCCAATGTTTAGGCTCTTTGTGGATTCCTTTTCTTTATTTGTGAACTGCTGCGATTCCTTAGGGAAAGATATAGCAGAGGTTTCCTGTTGGTTTCACTACAGTTTTGAATTCCTAATAGTCCTTCCAGACTGACTACTGCCAAAGGCTTGCAAACCTATCTACCCTGAATGAAGGGAATGGATTCGTGATTTCTTGTGAAGGTGAATGCAACATACGCAGCTGGAATATTCATTTGGCCCACCAATTCCACTTTTCACCCTGATTATTGTCGTACTGCCTGAGCATATTCTTTGAAATTAATGTTACTTAAAAAATAAGTTTCTGTATTTATAGAGAACATTTCTTTTGAGTCATACTCTTCTTTTTTTATTTTCCTTTTTAATAGCTGAAATGGATTTAGCAATCAAGGAAACTGGCACAACAATTCGTGAATCTGTTACTGAAACCAGGGTGAGAGCTTTGGGTGCCCTTGCTACTTTGTTGGAGCTCAAGGTATTTCTTTTATAATTCCTTAATCCTTAAAATAGAAATAAAGAATTCTTATACTTACAGATTTCTTTTTTGTGGGGATTTTTCTATTGAAATTTCTGGAATGAGGAGTTTTGCTGTTGGACTAATGTTGCCATCTTTGTTATAATGACATTTTGGACATTTTGTGCTCTCCAGGTTTCTGGTAATCTTCATGCATTTTAAAATTTAAAAGCTACCATCATGTAGCAGTACAATTTCTCACACATCCATACGAGATGAATAGATAGATTCTTTTGCTTTTTAAGTCAATTTAATGACCAGGGTTTTTCAGGAATCCCATCTACAGCTGACCTTTGAATTGATAGATATAAAATTTTGCTAGTGATTTTAGATAGCCGTAAAAGTAGAGTCTTTTGAAAAAACTGTCCACCCGAAAGCTGTCTTGGTGGTCCTCCTTTCTGGCTGGTGAAACATGAGTGGATGGAAAGGGGTAGTGCATCCCTCAGCCAGTATCCATATAATGGGGCAGGCAGTGAAATGGCCATGCAGTGTGTATGGGTCTGTTTTCCATGGCTGGAACTTTGTGAGAAGTCAGATACCAGGAGTTTGCTTCTTTAAAGCAGAAGGAAGAAATCGTATTTTTTTTTTTTTACTTCTCGACCCAACAAATGTCTTGAAAAGCATTTGTTATTTCTTTGTTGACGGCATTTGTGACCATAATTGAGATGAATCTATGGAACATAGCAAGTGATGGCGTATTCGCATACATCCGACCTTGGATGTCACCATGGTTGTGCAGTGATGTAATGAATTGCATCATCACACATGCTTAAAATAAATTAAAAAAAAAAAAAAAATGTATTAAATTTTGAATAAAAAAAATAATAACTATTAAAATGTATTTTATATTGCAGCCGCAAGACCACACTCCAGAACTACTATCTCTGACTGAAAGTTGGTTTAATAATCTTGTCACTGAACCCTTCAAATTAATCTTATCTATTTGCAATCAACCATTTGAAGGTCTCCGTCTTGGAGGTCACAAAATAATAATGTCATTGGCATGTCAGCCCTGGGGACAACATTTGATGAAGGACAGTGCTACATTCCAAGAATATCTGCTCAATCGGGCTATTGAAACGGAACTGGAATGGAAATACTCCAAATTTAAGATCGTGGAAACCCTGTTGGACTGTAGCTTTACTGAAGAAATCTTTGGCTCGGAATATTATCAAAAATTGGTCCAATACCATCGAGCTGGCCCGATTTACGTTGAATGTGAAAGTGCTGTTGCACTTGAGGGAGGCACTTAAGATGTGAAGTTTTTTTTTTTTTTTTTTAAAATCAATTTAAAAACTTGTCTTGTGTCACTGGTTTTTAACTGACGCCCAATCGATTACTATCACCTTCCCCAGTTTTTTTCTTCTCTCTATCAACTGAGAAAAACAAGTGGTTGAGAATTTAATATTTTTCAATATTTTTTTCTCAAATATGAAAATCTTTAATTTGTTTTGAACAAAATTATCTGTTTAAATATATTAAAGCTGTAATATTTAAAAAAAAATGTCATTTGTCCATTTTTGTTTTTATTTGTCTTTTGTATGATTGTCTGAATATTTTCTGTACATTGAAAATCACAATTTATTTGGAATCTAGGAGGGGTAAGGGTAACTGGATTGTAGTGTTGTGGGAGGAAATTATATATTTTATTTAGAGAGTTGCTGAAAAATTATTGGGCTAATAAAAAAGCCCTTAAAATATTTTTGTTGATTTAGTCAGATTTAGGGGAAATTATTAGTTTTAATTCAAAGCTAATAGATTAAATTTAACATTTCCAATAAACAAAATACTTTTTCAAATCAAAATTAAATTGTTTGGAACGATTTTTTTAAAAAATTGCTTAAATCAGCCATACTGACAAATATGTCAACATAATTCTCTTTAATAAAAAAAAAGTTTTAAAAAATAAAATTTACTTTTCTGAAACTTTATTTGAGGAAGATTAACTGATTTAAAGTTTAATTAATCTGAATTAGAACTAATATTACTTTTAGTTTAAAATTTTACAGAAAACCATTTTTAACAAAAGTGGGTGATTTTTACAAATCTATTGCTAACCTTATGTTTTATGACATTTATGTAAGGGGAAAATAACTAATAAAATCATGGCACATAGCATACACACTTTTTTGTTCTATACTTCTGAGATGAGGTATTGTAACTATTTACACTATTTACATTGTTTGGACTTTTGTCCTCATATTTATTATGATATTCACATTTCAAACATTCTATGGTCCAGCCTCCTTCAGGTGATATTAGGTGACACGAATACAATTTGGAAAACCAATAATATAGAGAGCTAGAGAGAAACTACGATAACAGAAAATTGTAATATGAGCTGTGGTAAAAATCATACCTGAGTCATTATGTTTATAAGTCCCCAAAAATGCACTCATTGATGTCCCCCAAGAACACATTGCCCAGTTCATAAAAGCGTTGATTGATTGATCCTAAACGTAACTTGGCTGAAATATCCAAAAAGTCATGGCACATGGAATTAGAACAATCTATACCCCACCATGGACTAAATAAAGTGTTCAGTTTGAAGTTTCAGTGTATAAATGGCGGGTACCTCAGCTAGTAATTATAAACATTAAGCACTACAAGAAAAGATTTTCTCAAAATTATTTCACACTTATTTAATTTTATGTAACAAATGTAAAAAAAAAAAAAAAAAAAATTCATTCATTTGTGAACTCTAGAAAAGTTTCATCAAAATCCAACAATTTAATTTTTGCAAGTATTTCCAAAGCAATGCGCTTTTCATGGAAAAAAGACACTCAAATTTGCCATACTAATTTATGATTCTAGAAAAGCAAGATTTTTAACCCAAAAATTTAAATTTCAAGGGTGTGTTTTTTTTCTTTTTTTAACCAAAGGGAAAAAAAATCCTTTGTCCTTATCTCGTAATCATAACACAAAGATTTTAATGAGAAAATTATTAAGTAATTGTCAATTTTTCATTAAGTGTTGTGTATCTCTTTTTATATATATATATATATATAATATATATATATATATATATATAAAATTTTATTTATTGTGTGTAACAATTGAGATATAGAGTGCAAAATAAAAAGGAAATACAGTTAAATTTGTAAAATAAATATTCAACGAGGAATTTTTTTCTTTTTCTTCATGTGTTTTATGTTAAAGAGCAGATAGATTTGGGCTAGTTGTTTGCCACAACTAGGGTTGTAGAGTGTAGAAGACTTTTCGTGGAAACAGTATTCTTTGTGTGTGTGTGTGTGTGTATACCTGGCACAGGGCTCTGTCCCTGTGCTGGTGGTAACATGGCTACGACTAACTTGGACCGGCTCTGACCAGTTTGGACCAGATATGACAAGCCAAGACCATCTAGGACAAGCTTTGGATCAGTGGCCTGAGTGAAAACACTCTGGTCCCTACGTTAAAAACTGACCTTGTGTCATAACCTGACTCAGTGGGGGGGTCAAGTAAATCTCTCTCTCTCTCTCTATATATATATATATATATATACATACACATACACTTGTTACATTTGTATGCAAATTTCATTACTAATTATCTGTTATGGAACATTTAGAAAAAAGAAAATTTTGTTACAAAGCAAAGAGTACTGAACTGTTATGCAATACTCATCCTATACAGCAGTGAACAATCTCCTCACAGATGAAGAAAAGACTAGAGAAAGCAAATGTAGTTCTACAGAAGGATGCTGAGTATACCCTAGACTAATTATGTCAGCAACAACAAAGTTTTACAGAAAATAGAAACA